CAGAATGACCCGCCTACCTATCGCGCTCCTGTGCAAAAGTATCAAGTTCCAAGCTCTGTAGGCGGTCCCTCTGAGCGCTTTCGATCTGCACCCCTTGCGTCTGCTTCAACACCAAGAGGTCTGGGGGGTGCGCCAACGTACAGTACATATTACCAAGAGCCCTCGGCCGCTTTTTCAACGCCAGCAAATATGCCGACGACGGCTTTAGCGTACGGGTCGGAATACGGCGCCGATTCAAGACCACAAACTCAAAGTTTCGGGGGCTACAACGCTGGTATGATGATGTACAACGTGCCTCAACCGAGCACACAAACTCCAGTTTACGATGCCCAACAGTTTGGGCAACGGCAGCAGGCGGCAATGCATATGATGGCACCGGATGTCACCTCAGCATATTTTAATCCTGAAGCAGGGAGTGCAGCAGCAAGTATGCAGCATCCGAGCCAGGCAAGCAGCGCATCGGCCGGAGTATATCAACAGGGCCAGCCCATGAATTACGCCGGCGGCATGCCTTCTACAAATGCCATGCAGCACACGTCTAGAACAGCAGATCCCACTATGGGAGAAGGGCAAGACTATGCTGCGTCTGGTCTTGAAGAGAAGTGGTTAAACTACAAACGACAGCTGGGTTCTGTGTTTCAGGATGTCTCGTCGATCTCTCTTGAAAGGGCCGCTGAAACACTGTTGAATGTCTCCAGCTGGTTGCTTACGCAGGTTGTAGAATTAGGTATGCAGAAGAAGGCTCAACAGTGTGAAACTAGCTTGATGTTTGTACTTACATGCTAAACAGGGCTCAATCAAGACGACGTCAGCCTCCACGCCGAACGACTCAAACTTTGGAACGACTTTAATAACGCGTGGCTCGCTCTCTGTTTCCAACAGAGAGAAATAATGTCTTCCAGCCAGCAACTTTCGAGATCACAGAGAATAATGTCTCAGGAAACAATAAAGAAACTAGGAGACGAGCTCGTTCGCCTCTGCGATGGTATCGAGAGTCATGGCTTAGTAGACTATCAGTATGGCGTGTCGGAGGATCAAATCGTGGCCAGTATGTTATTAGACCTCTTTCTTTTTTTTTTTTCCTTTGGCAGGACACTAACCAAATTCTAGTTCTGGTAGAGTGCCTTGACCTCTACGACTCTCCCGAATCGAACGCCAATACAAGCGGAGTATCGCGCTGATCCGCCTATATCTTTATATCTCGACGTTAAATAAGCAAACGAGGCATGTTGGCCACATGTCAGAAAGAAGGAAAGACGGCTGGATTTTTCATCTCTTTCTCTTTTTCTCTCTCTCTCACACACTCTCTTTCTCTCCTTATTTCCTTTGTTTACTTTGCTTGTACCCTTGCATTTCTAGCGGCTTGGGAAATGTACATTAACGATGGGAAACTTTCACACGGCTTCTACAATAGCGCAGATATGGACATGGTTGGATCGAAAGGAAGGTTAACATAGAAAGAGGTTTCTTCATAATTGGGTATCATGGGATTTGGACGGATGGAAATTGGGATTCTCTTTTCTTAGGGGGCGATGCATCTGCTTTGGGTCGGATCTGAATGGTGTTAGAGCGTTAAGGGAGACAGCCAGTGTCACAGCGTACCAAGCGGTGCGTCTCTGTATGCTCTATTGGCTGCCTCTTCATGAGCTGGGAACATGAGGGGGCCGGTGGCAAACATGTCCCGTACGCAAACACGCAATTATTCATGGACACACTCAAACCCACAGCATGCCATGCCACTATTTGAATGCTGCTTGTGTGCGGACATGTTCTGAAGGAAATGGGACGATTATTAGACGGTTATTTGGATATACACTATGGGAACGACTACGGGAGCGGGCAAAGCGTGCGAGAGGACCAAAGGATCTGGGTGGGCGGCGTCGAACGGCGGGCTTTCAGACGAGAAATGCGAAATTAGCGAATGCTCTGTTCTTTTTCTTTCTCTCTTATCTTCCCCCACTTCAGCTTGGAAATGACCTGTAGGGATTTTTCAGCCCAAAGGCCTTTTTTCTTTTTGTAATGTATCATTTGGGTTTAGACGTTGGGCTAGAATATGACGGGTTGGAGCCCCCACGGGCTGTATCAACCGGCTGGGAATGGCATGAGAGCTAGCGGCTGCGTAGATGGCAAACAAATGAAAAGTTAGATGGCAAACTTGAATAGATTCATTGGGCACAGCAGCTTGCGAGTGACGAGATACAAGGCCATGTAGCTGCGAGCCTAATGTGACCCTGCAGGGACTTTTTGTGATGCAGCCACCGCTCATCACAGTCCAGTAATCGGCACTTGGCGCCGCCATGGGGGGCAGCCGTCGGGTAGGACGATTCACGATGGCATATGACATCTGGCTTGGATGGTTTTGTCACCCGTGACGCAATGAAAGCACATGCTTGGTCTTGTAACCAGGGGCATTACCGCGGAGCCCATGTCCGAGCCTCAACTATGGCACTCCGGCCACGATACCCGGGAGGTTATTGGAGCGCGTGACAGCCCTCTTACACGCACGAGAGGTTTAATCAACGCAGACCACAAAATTGGCAGAGGGGTCAAGTCAGCACTGGAGAAGCTGAGGCGGCTGGGACTTTGGGGGCCGAATCAAGGGACTGCTTGGCAATACCCAGCCCAGGATGGCTGCTGCTAGCGTTTCATGGGGCAGCGCTGCCTTGTGTAGCTGAAATTATTCACGTCGTGGCTGAGAGTACTCCGTAAGCGGGAGCAAATTGCTTTCTGCTTCCAACTTTGCTGGCTGCCATAGGCTGGGGGCGTCGGCAATCGTGGACGGACGCATAAACATGATGCTCCTAGCTGCATACGTGGAGACGCTTGGCAAGCAGCAGAAGTGACGACCCCCAACCAATGCTTCGGTGAGGCGAGAAAAAAGAAATAAAATACCACCATCCGTGAGTCACCTGAGATGAGCTGATGTGTGCCAGCGGGCGTATGCTTGTAGAATTCGTGGATGGTAGTACTTCTGATCCATGTAGCCATACTCCCCTACAGGCTATGGCAGCATAAAGCCTTGGCTAGGTTACATGCAGCCACCATCTCGCGTTGGTTGGTTTGCTCTTTGATGATTGAAGCGGCAAAGCTGAGCTAAGATGGTGAATGCCAGGAGGAGGAGTATTTGCATTTGGTCATAGCTGCGGCTAGCGAGCGGCATCCCAAGTTTAGTTCTGGTGAGCTCTTGCTGATAGGAACGTGATGGAGCTCTGGGTCAGAGTCTAGAACGGACCCTGCAATATCTCGGCTGCTTCTCTCAGGTATAGATGGTCCCACTGCCAGCTTGAGTGGTCAAGATGGCACGGCCAAGGTAAGCTTTCGGTGCATTTTCGACGGTGCCGAGATCCAGCCTGTCCCAGGGTGATTTCCGATCTGTCGTAAATTCTGGGCTGGGCCTGCATGTGACGTTGACATGTATGTGCAGGGGTACGATTGGAGCTTGGAGCTTGCGCATTTCGCCTCGCAGAGCCAGCAGTGGGACAAGAATGACGATCCCCCAGATCCCAGATTGAAGTAGCCTAGTTGCCTAGTATGCTGCTGTAGCACGAACAAGATGATGCTGCATGGAGTCGGAGAATGGACATACCAAGGCATTTGGTGTAGACACTACTAGTAATGAATGCAAAGATGGTGAGGGAGAAAAAGACGAGAGAGAGTGAGGAATGCATGCCACTGGTACGGATAGTATGCCAAGTATTGCATCGGGAGGAAGGAGTGACGAGACAGACAGCACATGACGGCACCTGCCTGCCGTGCGCCATCATAGCGATCGGTAGGTACCAAGTACCGCCACGAGCTCGTAGAGCCGCCCAAAAGGCTATAATGAAGTGTTACTCGAAGCAGCCGAGTTTTACTCAATGAGCGGTGCGCATCACCCACCACACCAACCAGATGTTTGCAAGTGCGCGTATCATATCTGTAATTGAAAGAAGACGACGCCACGCTGAATTACTCGTTTTTTTTTTTTAATAAGAAAACATCAAGGGAGAATGCAGAAATTAGATCTCTATCAATAAAGAGCAAGTAGAAATGCAGCGGCGATTAAAACTATTAACAAAATGACATGTCATAATTGACATCTGTTAGAAGCCACATAATCGTGAAAAGGAAGCCATCATTTCAACAAATTCCGTAGCCATATGATCTTTACAAAGAATTAGAATCATTCGCTTTGGCTGAAGAGGAAGAAATCAAGAACGAAAGAGGTGGGAGAAAGCTGAATGAAAGCCGGAAGCATGCTTCATTGACATGTCAATGTTATTTATGACAGACAACCCGCAATTTGACTTGCGCCACAACTCAGTTCTCATTTCTTGAGATAGTAGCACACCAAGCCTCAAGAATCAATGGCCGCTGCAAATTTTATCAAAATGCTTATTCACCGGACGTCTCACATGTTCTTTGATGGGCGTCCTGCCATTTTCGGCCCATTCCACCACGATCAAATATCATTCGAAATAGCCGACTAAGAATTTGTGGGAAGCTTTTGTGGCTTCTCATTGACCTCCAAAGAACATCTTCGGCTCCGCCCGAATGCTGCCAAAAACACCAGCATGAACATAGTTGTCGTATGTATTATGTTGAGTCAGCCCTGTCCACCAAAGAGTGCATTGGAAATTGGCCTTGGTCAAGATCAAGTGTTCTATAAAACTCTTCCTAACAAGGCAGAAGTACTTTCTGGTCAGCAAATCCCAACACCATCAACACTCTTTCTTCTGGTGCTGGTACTATCTGTACCCAAACAGGCAAGACATGGTTGATCCATTCCAGATGGATGCACAATGTGTATTGGAGCAAACTCACCCATCCCTAGTCCCCAGTCTTGATTTCGTCTCGTCAGAGTACCAACTCTTTCGACTCAGCGGGACATCCTAATGCCTTACCGAGCATAGGGCGACTCAAGACGATCTCAAGGCTAAATCGTAATCGGTACCAGCATCGTTGGATTGCGCTGACGCATCCTCGATTTGTTGCAATGATTCAAGTCCGTCACCATGGTTAAATTTGAAACTTGAATGTAGATATTCATTATCATAACTGCTATATTTCCATTATCCACAAATCGCTTTCCTGGCGGTGTCTACCCGAGACCAACGCTGCCTTTTACCCCCTTTCAACAAACATTTAAAATTGATCTGTTATCAATGTGTTAGCTTTTTGCTGCTCTCCATCAACCACGCAAAAAAGGGGTCTAAAACAGGCAGAAAGTCCCTTCAAGAACTAGAGAGACAAAGGAAAAAGAAAAAAAAGGGGGAAGAAGAAGAACCAAGGGGACTCCCAATGAAATACGCACCCAGAGTCATGCTCATGCTGACATCCGTATTCTCCACCATCTTTGTAAACTCCTCAAAGCTGATCTTGCCGTCCTTGTCCAGGTCCGCCTCCATTATCGTCTTGTCGACAATCTGCTGCAGCTGCTGGTCCTTCAGGTTGCTGCCAACCATCATCTTGAGCACGATGAAGAGCTCGCCGTTGCTAATGTAGCCGTCGCGGTCAATGTCGTAGACCTTGAAGGCGAACTGTAGCTTCTGCTCCTTATTGCCCTTGCTGCTGAAGGCGCTCAAGCCGGAGACGAACTCCTGGAAGTCGACATCACCGCCACCGTCCTCGTCAAAGATGGCAATCATGCTAATCGTATTTTCGAGTTAGCCGCTGATCTATTCATTTATTCATACACCAATAAAGGGGGAGGGAGCGGTGTATAAGGTCGCCGTGGGGGGAGGATGAGGTAAGATCGAACGAACCGTGTCGCAAGAGGGTTGGAAGAGATTTGAGGAAGGCTGAGAAATTCGTCGCGCTCGATTGTGCCAGAGTTGTCCTGCAGCAGAATAGTCAGCCAGTGTGCCAATCATCGTGTCGCATCTCGTATCGTCTTGTTGAACCGCGGCGCAACCAAAGTGTAAAGCAGTTCAGCCCAAGCGTTTGGTCTGGCTTGGTTTGGGTTCCCCTTTCTTTTCAATCGTACCTTGTCGAGTTTCATGAACCGTTTCCTTAACCGGTCGACTTCCTCTCTGTCAACTATGCGATCCAGGGTCAGCCAAACTAGATTCCAGAAGCGTGTCAACCAAAAGGAGGCGAGAGCCTACAGTTGGACCCTTGGACAATGTTGTCCAGCACAGTACTGGTGGTGTTGCCCATCTTGCTAGACAGGACAGCGCAGCTGCTTGTGCGCTAAAGAATGTCTCGTGTGGCTAAAGATACAGTGATGGCAGTCCAAGGAGAGACACGCTGATGCGGTAGGAGGCCGTTCTGTGCGGCGGTCGTGTATGCAACGGGTGGCGGTTGTAAGATGTCGTTGTATGTACGGGAGTGTCTAAGTAAGGCGCCGGATTGGATTTGTAGGCGTTGTATTGGACAGTCGAGGCGACTCCTAGAGGGGTAGCTGGTCATGTGCACGGACCATCTCTGCTCTGATTTGTAGTGTCAAGAGACTGCTGAACAGCCTGGAGCGATAAGCAGTTCCATTCAATGTAATTCAGCCTTGTGGGATGAGAAAACCGGCATCAGGCTGGACTTGTAATTGAATCGGTTGCGCATGCAGAGGCTGCAGAAGTTGGCGCATCTTTGGAAATACTGAAAGATTGACTGAGGGGACTTATGGATGATTATGTCATTTTTACCAGATAGAGTTGAAACCTAAGATATGCGCGCTTGGGATGCTGCCGCTCAAGGTGCGAATGTGGCTGAAAAGCTATCAATCATGGCTGTGCAGCTTATCACGTCTCTCCTTTCTTGCAAGCGAGGCGGTGACGGAACTCTGGCGAGCGCTAAAAATGCCTTCTGTTGGTACGTACTGAGGATCTTCTTCTCTGTAGCCTAGGCCGCTGGCTTGAGAAAGAGCCAGAAAACAAAAAAGAAAAAAGCCACTATGCCAGCTTTCGGCTCATTTCCGGCCTGGGCGCGTTTGGGCAGCTGTGGCCGCTGCTTAGCCAACCAGAGGCGCGCGCCCACAGCACTCGCCCAAGTACCTCGCCAGCCTCTGTGCGGTGCTGTTTTCAGCGCGTGGGCCTGCTGCGACTTCAGGGGATGAGGGAGGCAAAAGGAGGGGGTGGCCCGAGCGCCTCCATGTACCGGCGCCCGCCAAACTCTACGGCGCGGTGACTTGCCAGCGGGCCACGGCGGCCATCAAACAGCCGCAATTTTCCAGGCTCTGCACCAGTGAAAAATCTTCGCGCGGCAAAACAAATCCCAACGTCACCTCATCGAACGCGAGCATTGAGCCATCAAAAAAGCGAAACCACAGCGCCTATTTCATCAAAAAAATATCATAAGGCGACTTCGGACGTCTTGATTTATGACTTGATCTCTTTTTTTCGCGGATTTTCCGCTGGCTTTCTGCCGTCCTTCACCACCCTGGCAACATGTCATCCCGCAAAGTCCGAGTCAAGAAGTTGACTATCAAAACCGCTCTCCCTGTGCTCAGAGAGGATCAGATCGATGCTACAGAGTATGAATCACTGCTTACCGAGTCGCAAATCGCGACCGGAGTCGACCAGACCGAGGAAAATGTGAGTCCATCACCACCCTCATGCCACGCCACCGCAACTTCTGATATCACGTGTCCGGTCACGTGGCTTCTCTCCCTACCTGCTCCCTACATTACCTTGCTCGCGATATATGCGTATACAGAGTGCAGCAACAGATATATGATGATGGCATAAGCCATTCTCATATATCCCACTCGTGTATTCAGAACTTCCTCTCTATTTTTGCCATTTTTCCTTTTCTCTTTCACTTCACTTTCATTTTTTGTTTCCATTTTCTCCTCTTCATCATCATCATCTTTATCTTTTCTTTTTTTTATTCTTTTTTTCTGTCTTATCTTTTTCCTCTTTTTCTTTCCTTTTCTTCTTTCTTTCTTACTAACCTTTTCTCTTCTTTTTTTCTGTGTAGGAATACCATCTTCAGTCCATTCTAAAAGAGGCGGGAACAAGCAATGATCAAGAAATCCCCGTTCCGCCTCCCAAAGAGAGTGACATCAGCTATGATGCCCTCTATCCCGCAATTTTTCACAAACCCTCCTCTTATATCCGATTTTCTCAGACAGTGGAGGAATGTATTAGTTGTCAATATGACATGACAACCGAAGACGATGAATTTCTCAAATCTTATAATAGTAATCCGCCCGCCGGCGCCGGGGCTCTCAGCGAGGATGACTTTGAACGCATCATGGAAGTGTTCGAGGACACCGCAACTGAGCAGACCCCATTCGCAGCCGTTGACAACACTGTTGTCGGCTACGACATGATGGTTCCCGGACTCAATCAGCTTGGCTCTACAACCATATTGCTGCACGCCAAGCAGATATACGAGTACTGGAAATCCAAGCGACAGGAGGAAGGAAATAAACCACTGCACGCAACCATCAAATTTGAGACGCATCAGGAGACTGATGATACTGACCCATACGTCTGCTTCAGACGGCGGGAGGTCAGACAAACAAGGAAAACAAGGTCCAGAGATACCAAGATCGCCGAGACACTTAAGCGTTTCCGTCGCGAGCTCGAGGATGGCCGTCACCTGGTACTGATGGCATACGAGCGAGAGATGATGAAACGAGATTTGTTGCAAGTGGATCGGGCTATTTTCGAGGAAAGAGCTCGATTGAAGCAAATCAAGACAAAGATGGGCATCAAGGGCGATGACGAAGACCTCGTAAACCAAAAGGTATGTTGCAAATCAAGGCCAGCTTGGCTCTCTACACGTATAATGCCACTTGACACTAACATGACCCAGCCGTCTCAGAAGCGCAAGCCTGCAGAAGCCGCGGGAGCTCAGCGACCAGCCACTCAAGTGCGGGTACCGGTGCGGCCAGATGGGCGTTCGCACGAGCAAGACCTTGTGTTGCTTTCCGACCAGCTCGCCGAGAAGGAGAACGAGCTTCGTAATGAGATTGAAACCAAGGTGCAGAACCACCGAAGGTGGAACCAGAATCATATCGATCTCACTCGAGATCCGCTATCGCCGGTAAAAGAACTGGGCATGGAGCTCAAGTTCAGACCGGCAAAGACCCAATATTTAATGACGCCGCCGGCGTCAAATTCTGCAGAATCAATGGACATTGACGACGCACCTGAGCCAATGCAATTGGACAAACCGGAACTTCCCGTCTTCCAATTCCGCGGCGCAGACTTTGGCGAGACGCCGCAAAACAGCCAGCCCGCGTTTAGACGTCGCATTGGCCGACTGCAACGGCTCTGGATCGATCGGAGGGGTCTCTCAACACCCGCACGGACAGATACGTACGAGTACTCTGACCGGTGGAAATACGACTCTGACGACGAAGATGACGAGCCGCTTGTCTATGAGGTTGACCCCTTTGACACGCGAGCGCTCAAGTTCAGAGCCACAATCCCACTCAGCCCATACATCTTCCGAGGAAGGCCAACGGTCCCTCCAGAGGCGGTTAATGGCGCAGCGAATGGAAATAGGGTGTTACCACCACCACCACAAGCGCAGCCACAGCCGCCGCCGCCGCCGCAACCTGCAGTTCAGCAAGCGCAGGCGGCGTCATAAAGAAGAACCCTCTCTCTCTCTCCCCCGACGAATCTAGTACTGCATCCTTGTATGAGTATGGAGGTGTATATAATTCGTTTTTTGCTTTCTTTTTTTCTCCAATCACGCTGGTATTGAAGGGTTCTCAGGAACGGACAGGACGGGGGGGAAGGTCGGGAGGAGGCAGGATCTTTTGCTGTAGATGAAAAAAAAGGCCACCGATGTATAGTACAGTAGCCTTGGTCAGGGCATTGCGAGGAGTTGGGAGTTGGGGTCGGTTCTTTAGGATTAGAAAGAGAAGAGGCCCTGCAACGGGAACAAATAAAAAAAAGATACAACCTAGATCCTCAACTGGCTCTTGACCAGGAAACAGAACTTTTTTTTTTTCTTCGACTCGGCCGCATGCAATTCGCGTGATGAGCTGTATCCGACTCGATGGTAGACAGTCCAGGCATTGCCGACAGTCCGATTTGTGCTTGTGAGAGCTCTTTTCTTCTTCTCGTAGGGCGGGTGGTGTCGTGACGCAGGCCGGTCTCACCTCACCTCATTGCGACCAGGGCGGATGACGTGAGGGGAAGGCCGGCCTGCGCAACGTGGACTCGCCGGCCGTGATCGAGGTTCGCCATGGGCGTCGACGATGAAGAAGCTTGTAGAGAGGCTGATCATCACTTTCGCCAGCTGAAGGAGCAGCTAGAGGCTCTGTCTTTCTTCTTTCTCGGCTGGATATTTTTTCCTCTGCGGCCAAGGCTGGTGTTAGCAGGCGCCGAAATAGATGGCAGCAGAGAAGAGAAGATAGGTTCAAAGGGGCGGGTTTTCCCTTGCAAGAAGGACATAGAACATACCGTTGAGAAAACTATTGTCTCACAGACTCAGTCCATCATGAAGGACTAAGAGACAGAAGAAGTTTCTTCCTCTTGTGCTGCAATATTTTTTTTTTCCCTGCTGGTGTCCCAGCTAGACTTGCTAGAAAGGAAAAAAAGTCGAGGGGAAAGAAAGCGAGTGGTCGAAGTGGACCGCGGGAACGGGCTGGAAGTGGATTATTTTGGGGAGAAGGGTGGGAGGATTTGCGGCCACACAGCAGAGACCGGCAGCAGAAGCACACACTTTCGCAAATCAAGGGACCTTGGGAAGTGAATGGCAGCAAAGCTTGCCTGGGCAAAATGTACATGGGCAGCGAGTACCTGCCTGGAGGGATGCGCGGCCAGAGAGTACTTGCGGCATTTGTACAGGGCCGGCGAAGCGGGGCCAAGGTGGTGTCTGTTAGTGCGAGCCTTTGGCTGGTGACAAGAGGGCGCTAGAGGGCCATTTGCCGAACAGGGCGCTGTGGAAAGGTCAGTATAGAGGACTTGCACTGAGCCTGTGTTCTTGTTCTCGAGATGTTCGCCCATAACCGAACATGCGCGCAAAAAGCAATGGGGATTCCGGAGTCGTAAGACATCAGCCGCAGGCCGAGCATCTTGAAAGGAACGAAGGAGGTGCTACCTTGAAACAGCAGGTAGATTAGCAGTCAGAAACGGGGGAAGCAGTCTCTTACATAAGTCAGCACGGCGCCTTTTGCCGAGACGTGATATCCAATGCGACTCTATACGGGGAGCTCGCAATTCACCCGCGGGCTTTGCTGCGGCGGAAGAATCGGCTGTAGCACGTACATTAGCGCAAAGCATGAACTGAGCCGGGAGGAAAAAGGACGAGGCATCATGTAGGAACACGGTACAGTACGAGGTTTGCTAACCCAGGTGGTATTGAGTGCATGCATTGCAAGATGACAAAAATTGGGGAGAGACGATGGGTGGTAAAGTATGGCAGGTACGTACTATTTCCGCCAAACCGCAGTGGCAGGTTGAAAGCCCATGACGAGCGCCCCGCTAATTTCTGCTTCTGGCAGAGAACCCCTCTATTTTTTTGAACGTCAAAACTTTGGGTTGAATCAACATCACATTCAATGTGAATTAACAAGTTGCCTTGATCTGGTATGTATCTCGTTTAAACCGAAACTGTTACCCTCTATCTTCTCTAATTAAAAAGACCTGTGCTAATATAATTATACCCTTTAGAGAAAGAAATAGACAAAGATAGAAACAACGATTCTCTCTCGTGAACGATCGCAACTCCAGACATCAAAAGCGCAGGAAACATATATCCGCCAGCCCTGGCGCAAGAACAAACTCCCAGATAGACAAGACTTCAACTTCACTCATTCTGCCTTTATAAAATTATACTGCACCCGCAACCTCATTCACCATGGCCGCTGCCGCCGTATCCTCGCCGCTTCCTCCTCCTCAACCCACCACCACAACCACATCCATCACATCTCCCACATCAACATCAATACCAGCACCTCCAATGCCCTCCAAAAAATCCTCCTGGATCGCCCTCGGCTGCGAAGGCTCCGCTAACAAGCTCGGCATCGGCCTCATCCGCCACACCCCAACCTCCGCCACCATCCTCTCCAACCTGCGACACACATTCATCTCCCCGCCCGGCACGGGCTTCCTCCCCAAAGACACGGCCCTGCACCACCGCACCGAGTTCGTCGCCCTCGCCCGCCGCGCCATCGCCGAGGCTGGCATCTCCCCCGCCGACGTCGACTGCATCTGCTTCACCCAAGGGCCCGGCATGGGCGCCCCTCTCACCAGCGTAGCTATCGGCGCGCGAACCCTGGCTCTACTCTGGGATAGACCTCTTGTGGGCGTCAACCACTGTGTCGGCCACATCGAAATGGGCCGCGAGGTCACCGGCGCCGACAACCCCGTCGTGCTGTACGTCAGCGGCGGCAACTCCCAGGTGATTGCCTACGCCGAGAAGCGCTACCGCATCTTTGGCGAGACGCTCGACATCGCCGTCGGCAACTGCCTCGACCGCTTCGCCCGCGTGCTCAACATCAGCAACGACCCCGCGCCGGGCTACAACATCGAGCAGCTGGCCAAGAAGGGCAAGCAGCTGCTCGAGCTGCCCTACATCGTCAAGGGCATGGACTGCTCCTTTTCCGGCATCCTCACCAGCGCAGAGGCCCTGGCCGCGCAGCTGCTGGAGCGCGGGCCCGACGGCGCGGGCTTCACCGTCGAGGATCTCTGCTTCTCCCTGCAGGAGACAATCTTTGCCATGCTGGTGGAGATTACGGAGCGGGCCATGGCACACGTGGGCAGTAGCCAGGTCCTTATTGTCGGCGGCGTGGGCTGCAACGAGCGATTGCAGGACATGATTGCGAGCATGGCTCAGGAGCGAGGCGGCAGTGTCTTTGCCATGGATGAGAGGTTCTGTATCGACAATGGCATCATGATTGCGCATGCTGGCTTATTGGCCTATAGAACGGGGTTCCGGACGCCGCTTGACGAGAGCGTGTGTACGCAGAGGTTTAGAACAGATGATGTATATGTCGAATGGAGGGATTAAGGCCTGTTAGAAATACACAAAAAAGCTGATAGAAAGAAGTGAAATTATGCGTACATCGTGTTTAATATTCCGTCCATCTTGCCCATCTTTCTATCTTGTTGGTTCATAGCGAACCCCTTATAGATCTCTACTACTTCCACTACCTAGCTAGCTCAGCTACAGTAGCTTGCCGTTTAATATGGCATAGCTCAGGCATAACTATATAGCCCATAGCTTTTCCCATTGCATCCAACCATTCCATGTAAATAAACTCATATCGTATCAAAAGGGAAACCCCTCCCTATATCAAAATATTGTAATAAAATAAAAGGGGATACAGGGGGAAGCGAAAAAGAAAAAGCAAACACATATTAACTCTCTTAAACCATAAAAAGCAACCTTCTTTCCTCATACTCTGGCGTTGCCAATAATACTCCTTTGGCGAGCTGGCTTTAACCTTCATCCGCTGAAGTGGGCTTATAAATAATTGTAGTGACATACTAAATGACGAAATTAGTAAATGCACGATAAGTCATCCTTTTCGCTTCACCAACCTTGTTGTGATATCTAATAGTCGCTGAAACGGCCAAGACATTGTTCTTAATGCTGCTCGTAGCAAGATGATTCAAAACAGTATGATTCGGCATGTTCAAGACGCTGTTGTCGTCCTTCATCAGGGTGGCAGCGTTGAGGATGGGTTTGCCCAAGAAACCAGGCAAGCTGGGAGGCGTAGCCATCTTCTCAATGGCACCCTCGGCATTGCGATAGGCTGGTGACTCCTCGGCCTGGTCGAAATCGAGCAGGTATGGTGGAATTTGGCTATTGTAGGCTTCTTGTGGCGAAATAAGCCTGTGCTTGGCAACTTTGGGCTCCTCTGTAGCCTGAGCTTCATTTTGAGCCAATTCCTTCTCTTTTCCAGCCTCAACAGCTTCTCCAGGCTCGCCTTGTTTCGTTGCCAATGGGTCCTCGGACCTCACTTCGATATAGTTTACCAGGTTATTTCCGAAATCGACCGTCGTGGGAAGAGCAGGCGTCGTCTGCATAATTCCATCCACCAAGAAGCGGATGTGATGCGTACCGGGCAGGATATAAATGGTGGCGGCAAAGACACCGGGTTGACCCTCGCTATCCCGCCATGATAAATGTGTTAGCACAAGCCAAAAAGTCAAAAATGATCAGCGGGTGAGCAGAGCGGGCGCAAATGGCTTCAGGCACGTGCTAGGCACAGAAGCCTCCCGAAGGCAGCCAGATGCGCCTAGCTTACTGGTCCAATTGGTTTGTGACCAGTGTCAACTTACACAGGAAGCAGCCGGTGTTTTTTGTTCCATTGGAAAATTGTACCAGTCACATATACTTTTTCACCTCCACTGTTCCAGACAATCTTGGTGGGAACTACTCGCCCGGTCTTGTCCACGCGTAGCTCCTCGCCCTCGTCGTCTTCAACCGTGCCGTTGCTGAGCCCGGAGTTCTTTCTTGTTAACCCATCGGATGTCTCGCCCAGCTCGAGATCGGTAAGGTTCTCATCTGGGCCAGCAATGGGCGATCCAGGTCGATGTATCTCCTCCTCGATAGGAAGCGGCAGGCGGGGCGGGCGCGACATGTACATGTCTGTAAGGCTATTGTTGGAGAAGAGCTGCGCGTCGAGATACGGCGGCACGGCGGGGATATGAGGGCGCGCCACGGACCCGTCGATGGGAACAGCGACGGGCTTGGAAGGTTCGTCGCGGATAATTGGCCGCGGCGAGGATGGCTTGGGGCTGCCCGCGGCAACGGCTGCAGTAACGGCGGCAGCGGCGTTGGCGACGGAGGAGACGGTGCTGCTATGCGGCGAGCCGCTGAGGGAAGACACGGCAGTGGCGGGCACGCTCTTGGTCTTGGGCACGGAGGCGGCGATGGAGCCCTGGGCCTGGAGCGTGGACGACTCCGGGGCGGCGGCGGCGCGGTGGATGGGGAGGATGTTGCGCGAACCGTCCTTGCGATGGTGATGGCGAGGGGACTCGACGCCTGACTGCGCCTGCGGCGGCGTCGACCCAGGCCCGCCCGCCTTGTTGGACGCCGAATGGTTGTTACCCATGGCTCGGAAGCCCGACCAGGGGTGGCCGCAGGGAGACGGAAGCGAGCCGGGAAGGCGATGAGAAAAAAACAACAATCCCAGACCCAGGCAGGCAGCGAGGATGGGCTGCTAGCGGGAGCAAAGGGGGGTTGCAGAGGCGACCGGTTGGCGGCTTGTCGTTGCACAAGGCGCTCTCGCTCGGAGCTGGCGAGCCAGGGCTGGAGCGGCAGATGGGGGGTGAGGTCTCGCGTGACGATGCTGGGACGAACGTGGTTGGATTGCGGCGTGCTGAGAGGATGAAGTGGCGGTGGGGGTTTGTGCCTTGGGAAGCCGGGAGGAATCTCGATGCGGGTGTGTCGTCGGCCTTGGCTCTGTTCTCGATCTGGAGCTGCGTCTAGAGGAGGATTGCGGATCAGGTGAGAGGCCTGCGATGTGTGTTTGGCTGGTTGGGGGCCGGCGAGATGCGCGAGGATGGAAGTGGTGATGCTAGCGGTTTATGCCTCCTAGCAGCAGTAATATCTCACAAGGCGATTTGCCGACGCCAGATCGAATGTGCCCGGTAGCGCAGAGCGCCAGTCAAGCGTTGATCAGTCAACTAGGTAGTCAACTAGCCAATGGCCAATGGCCAATTCCAGGTCCCCGTCTGAGTGGACTCTGGGAATTAAAGCAAACACTCTAGAAGAATGTCACAAGAGGGGCCTTGACTTCCGGCAATCTGCTCCCTTGCCCGCCAGGCCTTGAGGGCTCCTCTTGTGGACGGCGTCTGCAGGCCTGCTCAGCGCCTACAGCGAAAACGGGATGCTCGTGGGGGACTTGCGCTGCAACTTTCGGGCTTCCGCTGTCGTGTCGTCTCGCCTGAGCCGTGACAGCCCGTGGTCGTGCAGGACAGACGATCGTGGGTTGGAGGAGCTGGCCAGTAGGATTGAGGCCGTTGTTTTTCGGGGTGGGGGAAGATGCAGCTGCAGTCACGCGCGGGGCTTGCGGAGCGATATATAGAGGTACGTACCCGCTTGGAGCACCCTCAAGGCTGTGGCTTGAACTTCGAGTTGAGCTCTTATCTCTCCCGCGCTAGCTTGTACTCTCACATTTCTATCCATGTACTGAGTACTCAAAGCTTACGCCAAAACCAGCGTGTAATGGAGTTTTCTAAACTTAGGCCAGAAGGGCAAGCCACCTGATCTGCGACATTTCGGGCGTGTTTACGATGCTAAATGACTGTACGAAAACGGTCATGAACAGGAACACATCAAGGGACATTTCGAGTGGAGCGTTCCGCACAGCACTTGGCTCTGCCGACTTACAAGTACAACAGCATTGTGGGAGAGGCTTTTTATAGGCATCGTGTTTTTATTCGATAAGAAGTGGTGGGCATTTTTGCTCTTGTGGTAGATATTTGCTTCTCCCTCTCAAGAGCAATAGAAGAAAGGAAAATGTCCAGCCAGCTCTGTTCCTTCGCGAGCCGGTATAGCAACAATGCCTAGTATCAACTTGATCCCACCTTTTTTTTCCTCCAGCACGAGCAAATGAAGTAGAGTCCCTAGCATTATGTGTCTGAAAAAAGAAGTGGGTCAAGATTTCTTTGCACCAAAACATGTAGACGTTGCGGTTTGAAGATTAGAGCCTCTTGGCTGTGGTCTGGTAAAAGATTCGAACCCAAGTCAGCTTCAACTGCTTGGAGACTTGGCACCAGCGTCATGATATAGAATGAGACTTACTCTTATTGTCTTCTTGCAAGTCTACGTGGACAAGGAGCAGGCTTTATGCTTGACGCCGGGAAGATGTGCATGAAGCGATGCATAATCACAGTCTTGCCATGTTGGCGTACTTTTATCGAAACTGCATCCCAACTAGGTGAGCTTCCTCTCAGGGTAAAACACACATTGGCGATTAGAGCAGTATTTGGTTGGTAAGGGGGTATTCGGATAGGTCGTATGTGTTCTAGGTAAAATAGGTCGAACCGTTATTTCTTTCTGACTTTGGTGAAGAGTGGACCATACACCGAGTGCGAGACTGAGTGATGGTTGAAAGAGACTGCAAGATCTCGAGGTTTCGCGTTATTGGGCATCGTGTTGACTTCAAATGCTTGTTATCAGTATATGTACAGATGGACAAGTGTTTGCTGTGGTCTTGGTACTGACTCGTTTGATTCAGATGTGCTCGAACGCGGTCTTCATGCTGGGATTGTATATGGAAAAGTCAAAAATAAAAATCGAAAGCAAAGGAAATAAGTGGCAGCATAAATAGTGAAGTGCTGATGCCTGAGGAGAAGTGCGCTGTTCGAGTTACTTGAAGGAAGGTGCGTTCATGCCTACTACACACTTCATCCGATCTTCAACACTACAGATTAATTCTGATAGAAGAATGAATATTCCTATTTTCGTAAAAATTCATTCTCCCTTTCAGCATACATTAGCCAATTTCATCATAAAACAGTATTGTCTTATGTCGGCACACGATCATGCACTTCAATAGGCTTTATTGGAAGCGGTTTATGTCATAGATCTGACATACTAAGTAACCAGAAGCATCAACGTTTTAATGGTATATTCAGACTTCCACCACAATATTGTAACCAATGAGTTCCCACTGATCTTCAAAGTTCTAATTTTAATACAAATGCCCAGTATACATGCATTTTAAGATACTAAAATACAAACGCTGCGAAAACATGCCGTTTCCTCCTCCCTCCAGGTTAAGCCCCGCCACATCCCACCAGCCACGCCCAAGTACGTACCGTTGTACCTCTTCATCTCCCTTTCATCAATGCTACAAGCCTCTCAAACAACTCACATGCCATTGCCTTCATCGAAATCTCATCCCCCCCCCTTTCCATATGCATCTCAGTCAACAACACCAGCCTTATAAAAAATGAACCTCTCGGCCGTCCTCGATGGCCTCCGCGCCAGCCTCTACTACGCTTCTTTCATCGGCCGCATCTTTGCTTTCCCTTTCCGACTGGCCTATGTCCCGATACATTACCTCCTGAGCGTCTTGAGGGTTGTGTTTGCGCCGGCGATTTATTTATTCTCGTACATCACAGGCTGGTGCCGGGGCGTCATTGATTTCGTCATATCTCTTCAGGTATGTTTTCTTTTCATCAGGGGAAAGAAAATGGCTCAATCATGTTCTACGCGATCTGGTTTGCATCATTTCGACGTGTTAGTGAGAGTGGACACTAACATCATCTTCTTACCTATCTATGTAACTCATAGCCGTTATATACCTTTGTGAGTTTCTCCAATCTCTTTCCCTCCTTTCAGAAACCCATATGAGAAAGAGCGATATATATGGCCGCGTCATACTTTCACTGAGCGAGTGAAATTGGTAGCTAATCATCCTTACAGCTTGGCACCGCCGCAGCAGTCGGCATCTTCGCCGGCTTCACCCTGGCCACCTCGTCAACAGTCATCACTTCGTACCTCGGCATGCAGGACGGTGTCAACGGCAGCCCTGAAGGGACTCGCTCTCGCGCTTCGCAAACAAAAAAGTCATTGCCGCCGTTCTCGTCCGACCCCCTCATCAAAGATGATTCATCCTCTAATGACGGAGAGTGGTATTGGCCTGATCCTAATGCCTCCTCACGGCGCCGCCCTGCAACTGGGCTCTTGTCACAGACGATTCTCGAAGAAGAAGACGATTCTGAATTATAGATTTCCTCTTCCTCTTCCTCCTTCTTCGCTTCCTTCGTCTCTTCCTTATGAATCTTCTATAGTTAATTGGTCACTTTATGCTGCTATTTGGGCGTTATTCAAGCGGTTTGGTTTTGTACTCTTCCATTATATATGTGTGTGTTGTGCTATTGCATTCTCTATAATGATGGAGACGCTATTCGTTTCAATCTTCGCTGCTGCGAGCAGGCAACAACGCTCTAAAGTCCGTTACACCTTTCCAATTCTTTATTCTGTTGCCTCCAACGCCTGTCCAAACCCGTATAAAAGGTGTAGAAGAAAAAGTGTTTCCTAGGGATATCATAAAATAAGTATACAAAGGGGCGCGCGCAAGGTGTATGCCAACTCCATCTACCGTCATTAAACGACCATACATATGGCTCAAATCATATTGTGTATGGTAATGTTGATGTTGGCCAATTTGATTTCTTCTTCTTTAAGACTTGCCGTATTTATCGTCGATAAATCTCTCGTTCGCGGGTCCTATCGTGCATGGGCGAGCGGCTTCGACTCCTCGTTCGCCGGTCTCTATCGTACCGTCGTCCACTGTCTTTGCTGGTGGGACGTCGACGATCATCCCGAGGCCGGTCATCATCCCTGCGACGGTTGTTTCCACCTTCTTCCCGTCCATAGCTTGGGATATATGTATCAATCTCCGACCCACGACCTGGCGCGCGATTGCGGGGCGGCCGATCTCGATCCCGATGGTCAGCGTCGTCCCAATTTTGAGATCGGTCTTGGGGAGGCCGTGATGCAGGGCCGCGCTCTCGGTCTCTCTGCCAAGCCGGCCGCCTTTCGTCCGGTCCACCCCTGAACCGCCCTCCATTGGCGCCGTTTCGGCCACCATATCCGTCACTGCTGTTGAAGCCTGCGGTTGCTCCATTTGCATCAGGTCCCAGGCCGACCGTTCCTCCCTTGGGCGCAGGAGGCAAGGCAGCCTTGCGGTCGTGAAACTTTCTTCGATCCAGCTCATGGCTTTCTTCGTAGGTGGGAAGCTGATGTGGTTCCATGGGTAGGGGCTCTTTCTTAAAGTACGGGTGCTGTAGCGCATCCACGGCATTTATCCGTGTCCTCCAATCCAGCTTCAATAGATCTTTCAGCAGAGAGATTGCTCCAGAGCCATATCTATGAAAAGGAATTTAGAGTCAGCAATGTGTAGACGTTGGGTCAAGTGAAGAGGACTGGGCAGGCATACTCCCTAAAGCGGCTCTGAAGATTTCCAGGTCGTGATCTGGGAGACAAATGATCGCTTCCCGGCAGATTCTTCCACCCCGGCATGTTTTCATCAGTGGGCGAACCCATGAGATCCCAGATAAGATCAAGTTGATGGGCATCGCTCTCGCCGGCAAGGATGGGTTTGCCGTATAACATTTCTCCAAAGACACAGCTACCACGGCATTAGTTTTACTGGAAAGCTCAAAGCAAAGATATATGAGTGTGTCCATCTTACCCAACTCCCCACACGTCGATGGCAGTGGTATATTGTCTTAGCTGCAGTAGAAGCTCGGGGGGTCGATACCATCTCGTAACGACCAAGCCAGTGTAATCTCGTCGGCCATCTCCAACAGCGTGGCCAGCTCTCGGCGTTGGCCCGTCGTAGTGGCGTGCGAGACCGAAATCGGCAATCTGGAGGATGCCCTTGTTGTTGATGAGAAGATTGGCAGCCTTCATATCTCGGTGGAGGACGTGATTCTCGTGAAGATAGCGCAGACCCTGGAGCAGCTGGAGCATGTAACATTTGATCTGGGCTTCTTTAAAGTGGACAGACGGGTTATCGAGGAGGCCAGAGAGATCGTGATCCATGTACGGCGTCACCATGTACATGATGGGTTTCTTGCGTTTGTCGGCTGAGGATGGCCTGGTCAGCGCATCGGGACAACGAATGGCTCGAATTGGTCAAAGAGGAGAGTATAAAGAGAATTACTCACTCGCCCTTGTGGGATGTTCTACGGCCATGTCTTCCAATCGTAGAATATTTGGGTGAGACAGCAGCTTGAGAAGCTTGATCTCTCGCAGAGCGGTGATGGGAAACTGAAGCAAGTTAGAAGAAGGAAAGCGATTCCAGAGAACCCGGTGTCGCCACGTACGCCATCTTTTTCATGATGCATTATAATCTTTTTCAAGGCGACAAGTGCGCCTGTTTTGCGTGATCGAGCGCGGTGAACCTCACTATGGTATGGTCGTTTGCGTTAGCCTCGCTTTTGGGGACATTGAGGTAAGATGCGGAACAAAGGGCCAATCATACCCAAAAGTACCCTCGCCCAATTTCCCCTGTAGCTCATAGTCGGATATCCGCGAACAGCCTTGGAAGCTAGACTTTGGCCTGACGTGGTTGATGGCGAATGTTCTTGGTGAGGAGCCATCGGGGGCTGCATCGGACGGGCGATCCATGACGCGCGCCGGGTCGATTGAGTTGCTGCGAGCCTCGAAGCGCAAGGTCGACAGGGACAAGGACGGCGGCGATGATGGAAGAGAATGGAGCGCAGCAAGACGACTCTTGTTTCGAGGGGACGGAACGCGTTTTACGAAGCAGCTGCGGCGGGATGGGCGCGCATCGTTTTGCTCTGGGCCCTTTGAAACCCCCCCGCAAAGGCGTTGTCGACGAGGTCGCGGACGGGTTGGTTGCGCAATGGAAAAACCCGCGGCAGCAAAAGCGCAGCGCAGTTGGCTGTGGCCGTCGTGAGGGGGTGAAGAGGAAGTAGTGCTGATAGTGCGAGTTTTGGCGAGGGGAGTGTTGCAGACGTGAAGCTGCGAGGAAAATCGCAAAAGGGAAAAAAAAAAAGGTTTGGCTTCCTATCGCTGGAGTTGGCGCTGAGCACAAAGTTCAAAGATGGGAAGATGGCGGTTGAGCGTTTGCGCTTATCCTAATCGAACACTTGGAAAAGCGGTCGGTGGAGCTGTACCTGGATTGTACTTGGGCGGATGGCCGGTGGCTGCGGGAGGGTGCATGTGCCCAGGCGGTACTGCTACCTTATTTCGCCGTATAATTGCAAAAGGGCAATGTTTGGTATTATATCGAGCACATATCTAGATTAAAATAGATGCTATAATAATTTAAACTCCCGATTTCAATAGGCTTGGTCGTATCAGAGAATCAACAACGGCATTGGCATCAACCACTGCGGGGCATCATGACATTCCAAACCGTCATCTCAACTCTCTTTCTGGTGCCGATCACTCAATGTAGGTGCACCAAAGCAGGCCACATTCTGCATCTGGCTCCAAGTGACGTATGCATCGCGGCCGCAGAATGGCAAGGCCCCGTACCTGCGGCCAGCCAGTCATGTGCGCCGCCATAATCGCTGTGCATCGCCTGCTGCACCCCTAGAAGGGTCTGGAGCGGTCCCTGATTTGGACGCTGGCCTGCTGATGCTACCACTACCGAGCTGCCACTGCTAACAGCATTAGCGCTCCCCCAGATCTGGGCAAAGCAAAAGGCGGAACGAGATTAAATGGCCGTTAGTGATACGGAGCGAAGCCGGAGCCGCCTCTCTTTAGTGCTGTTAATGGTTACAGTTCGGTGCAGTACAGTATCAATTGGCGGTTCTTTGTATGGCTGCGCTATCCATCATCACTCCGCCGTTTTCAGAAACCTGGACCATCCAAGACGAGATGTACAGATCCTCATATACTCATTTCTCTCTACGTTTTCTACATCTTTTGCTCAATTAACCCCCCCATGTCATCATCGGCAAATCCAAATTACAAGGGCACACCAAAAGGAAGAGAAAAAGATAATAAACCGGCCATGCAGTCCGATGCCGACGTTTTTTTTATATTTCTATTACCCCTTCGTATCCACTCCGTTCCGCCTCTTTTATCGCCCCGTGCTAGAACTTTTTTTTTTTTTTTTTTTTGGCCAACAGATGCGTTACGCAAGGTCCCCCGACACTTTCCCATTACTAAAATCTTCTTCTCCTCTTTCTTCCTTCTCCTTTTTGTAAATATATAATACACTCCTTTTTCCCGCTGTTTATATGACGAGGTCCTGTTGTATCACCTCCCGTCTTATATTATAACAACGGCCCGGCTGGACCACTTTTCCCAGCGTATAAACCCACCCACTTTCAACTGTCTTTTTTTTCCTTATCTGGGGTATACAAGGGTACTTTGACTTTCAGCCAGCCAAAAGTTCTGATAAGACCCCCCGAGAACTTCAACAGCTGAACAAACAAAGCTCCCCTCGTCACTCTTTTCCTTTCAACTTCTTATTCATAGATTACTTCTTCCGACCCATTTCTTTATTAGCACATCTCCTTATTATCAATTAATAACAGAAACTCATGCTCATGTCTCCCGCCGCCGTCTCGACGGATCCGCCTCCGGTCAACGCCGGCCTCCCCGAGTCCCGCGTCCTCATCATCGGCACCGGAGGCACGATATGCATGCAAGAAGGGCCCGACGGCCTCGCGCCCAGCGATGGGTTCCTGGAGAGCGCCATGGCCCCGAGGACGGTGTTTAATGACAATTCAGAGCCAAGTGGTGAGTTATCACTTATACCATATGAGACTTGCATCTCACATGAGAAGTCTCATACACATGAGAATCTCACACAATACACACATCATAACTCATAACGTGTAGCTAACTCTACATCAAAAGTCAAACTCCAAGCCCGCCGCAACGGCCAACTCACCCAGCTCGACTCCCTCCGAACCCCCCCAACCGCCTACCACCGCCACATCCGCTACTCCGTCATGGAATTCGACCCCCTCCTCGACTCGAGCAACATCTCCGCCGCCGACTGGGCCGCCATGGCCACGGCCGTCCAGGAAAACTACCACCTCTTTGACGGCTTCGTCATCCTCCACGGCACCGACTCGCTCGCCTACACGGCCTCGGCCCTGTCCTTTATGCTGGCCAACCTGGGCAAGCCGGTGATCCTGACGGGCTCGCAGGCGCCCATCTTTGCGCTGCAGTCCGACGCCGTCGACAACCTGCTGGGCTCGCTCATCATCGCGGGCACCTTTGTCATCCCCGAAGTCTGCCTCTTCTTCCGCGACAAGCTGTACCGCGGCAACCGCACCACAAAGGTCTCGGCCACCTCCTTCGAGGCCTTTGCCAGCCCCAACTGCGAGCCCCTGGCCAAGGTCAACGGCCTCGGCATCAGCGTCAACTGGCCGCTGGTCCTGCGCCCAACCACCATTGCCGAGTTCAAGGTCTTCAAGCACCTCGACACCACGCACGTCGCCTGCCTGCGCGTCTTCCCCGGCATCAAGCCCGAAATGGTCGACGCCGTGCTGCACCTGCCCGACCTCCGGGGCATCATCCTCGAGACCTTTGGCATGGGTAACATCCCCGGCGGCGTCGACGGCCGCCTCATGGAGGTCATCCGCTCCGCCGTCGAGCGCGGCATCGTCGTCGTAAACGTCAGCCAGTGCGTCAGCGGCTTCGTCTCGCCCGTCTACGCCCCCGGCACCAAGCTCGGCCGCCTGGGCGTCATCTTCGGCCTCGACCTCACCGCCGAGGCCGCCCTCGCCAAGCTCTCGCACCTTATCGCCCTGCCCGACCTCTCGCAAAAGGACATTGTCAGCCACTTCTCGCGCTCCCTGCGCGGCGAGATGACCGAGATTGCCCACCAGAGCTTCTCCCACCCGACGAACCCCATCGACTACAGCTCTCGCCTCACCCCGATGGAGTCTGCCTTCACGGCCCTCGGCTACGCCATCCAAAACGGCGAGATCCAAGTCGTCAAGGATCTGCTTGATGGCGACGGGAACCAGCTCCTCAAGACGGCCGACTACGCAGGAAACACCGCCGTCCATCTTGCCGCCGTCTCGGGCAATTCCGAAATCATGCTCGAGCTCCTAACGCGCGGCGCCAGCGTGCACCAGCGCAACAGGGCAGACAACTCGCCCCTATTCCTGGCCACGCTGTCGGGAAAAGACGACTGCGCCAAGCTTCTCAAGACGGCGGGCGCCCATCTTTCCGTCGAGGAGATTGAGAGGGGGCCTCTGGCAAAGTATCGTCGAGAGCGCGAGATGCCGGCAAATGAAAGGGAGCCTTACTCAATTTCCTTTGCTTGAGCAACTAAACTACAACTCATACGATAAGAACGAAAAGCGAATTATAGGGGCGAAAGGCCCAACGAGACTCCAGGCATGAAACTGCTACTGACATGTCTGACCTGAGAACGCCCTGAGTATTTTCTGATGACAGATTATGATCCAATAATATAGAGCAATGAACATAACAAGAGGATGATAAAAAGGAGGAGGCCTTGGCATTGAACAAGCGCAATTAGCGTATACATCTCAGTTTTATAATCAACTCACTGAGAGAAAAAAAGAGCAAGATAAACTGAGAGGAATTTCCTAGGAATTGGCAATCGACACGTTAGAGGAAACGATCAAGTAATAATACTTGGGAGGATAAGAAGAGTACCTTGAAGCAATACTAAAAAGGCGTATATTTCCGAGTGCCAAACTATATTCTATCCTATACAGTCACGCAACCAAGAGATTGGTATTAATCTCCAACTTACTACTTGATTTGATAATAATACAATAGCTGTGCTATAGACCTTGAGAACAACAGATAGCCGTCAGAGTCAAATGCTAGAGACCACTTCAATCCAAGTATGCTCTTTGTATTGATACTGTATCAAAACAAATGTCATTCCATAATTCATCTGCATCATGCGTCGCCACATGCATTCCTGAAACGAGAGAAGGAAGAGGTTGACAAAATCTCAACATATATAATAAAAGGAAAACGACCATCGCCTCAACACAAGACATGAATCACTTTGATGTGATTGATGGGTATGATATGAGACTGGATATACCAGACTCCTCGAGCCGTTCCGTAAGTCTCTTCACACAGCTGCGTGCCCTCGACACGAATTTAGCTCGGATACTGTTGCGCTTAACGAAGGAAAAGGTCCCCAACGCCGTTTCTCAAGGCCCTTGTTCTATCCGGATGATCGAAGCCAAGGTAGTCATCCTCGGATGAGGCTATGTTCCACAGCTCATCGTCTACATTGTATGATGCCGTTAGTTGGTTTCCCCAATTTTGTTCATCATCGGAATAGTGCACACGAACCATCATTAAGATACTGTGGTTTTGAATAGTTTGCTCGTCTGGCAATGGCAAACTTGATCTTCTCGAAGCTCTTGCCTTTGATTCCAGTTCTTCTCTCCAGTCGCTTCTTCGTATCAGCGAATTTCTCGCCCTAGTCAAAGCATTAGTAAAGATAAAAAGATGAGGGTAGCATAGTGCACTATAAAACAGCAAGTTGGTGGATGCTTACCTCGAGGAGAAGGAACTTGAAAGGAACACCGTGGACTCTGTTGACTTCATTTTGGAAGTGGAAAACGTGAATGAAGTTGCTATCCTCGGCTGTTCTCTCCTCTTCCGGAACTCTTTCAGCAAAGATTTGGGTGTACTCGTTCAAATTCAGGACGGATTGATCGCGTGCGGGCTCACGATAGAATCTGTTAGAGCTTGTTTCGTATACCCGTATTCTTCCGCCTTCCGCTTCATCGGCGATCTTGGCCTTCTTAATCAAAGCTTGTATCAGGTCTTCGATAGTTCCAGTCTTTGATACGAGCAAGTCAAGCTGGTCCTAAAGGTAGCAGATTCAGGTTAGTGGGGCTTGGCCTCAAGAACGGCTGGAAAAACAGCTGTGTGTAAATATATACCTCTTTCGTAATACCCTCGCTCAACCACGTCAGCTTGATATTCTTCTTGGTATCCAGCTCAGCTAAGCTCATTTCTAGCACCTCAAAGTAAAAGGCATCACTTCGCTGAGTCGCATTCAACGTATTTGAGCCCAGAGGATTCAAAATCTGTCGCAGTGTCGGGTTTGTACCCCGTCGTACAGGAGCCTTGGGGTTGCTTGTGCTCGAGTTCACCGTCCATAGCCGGATGTGTGTCGAGGGGGCATTGAGGTGCGCGCCGACTCGCTCAGACAAAACGTCGTAAGTGATCTTTGAGTTGAGGACAAGCTCAAATGGAGGATATTGTGTCTGGTCAGATCTAGTTGGATGAGCGTGGAATTTTACGGTTCGCTTGTGCTCAAGGAAATCGTAGTATTCGCGAGCATCTTCAACGCGGTCAAATGATTTGTTTCTAAGGAAGCGGTCAGTCATGGTCAAAATGAAGAAGGGGTGCGGATTCTGTTGGAATGAAAGCGTACGTTTCTTGAGATGCCTTGTCAGAAGCGCGCGTAGCCTCTGTTTTCTTGTCAGAGACACGTTGGAAGCAGACAATGTCGCCATCCTGAAGTTCGGCAGCTTTGAGGGTCTGCTTGCCCTTCAGAGGCTCAATCATGGTCGGTTTGATTTCCTAATAAAAAGTATCAATAGGTTAGCCGGCTTGAAAGCATCAACATGGCGAATTGAGATTGTTTTCTCATACCTCCCACATCAACAGCTTCTCGTCAGAGGGAAGCTTATCCCCCCAGCCCATCTTCTGAAGAATCATGGGAACAAGTTCATCGACCCTCTTTTCTTTGCTGATATAAAGATGGCCTACGCCTTCCAGGGTCTGCCTCTCTACATCGAAATTCTTCAGTAGCAAGAGGATGGTATCATTCTTCACAACAACACCATTTGGCTGGCTCTGGTACGATGCCCAGATGGGCTCGCCGTTTTCGTTGACGTCAGCTGCAACCTCTGCCCAAACACGCAGACTGGTGTCGCGGTGAGCAGCGGAGCGAGAAAAAATCTCCTCGACAGTTGGTCGAAGATCCATGATTGGCTGATCTGGTCGAATTGTTTTGTTTTGCCGGTTGACCATCAGCCACAGCCTGACACGAGCTGGTTCTTGGCCCATGTCAGCAGCAACTTGAGCGACGAATTCTTGCATAGGCATAGCTCGGCGGATGCGATACAGCTTGGGTGACGCGGGATCGGTCTCAGAGATGGGATCAAAGACGCAAAGATCGGTTCCGCCGAATTTTGCAAAGGTTTCGTTTGTTATCACCTTGGCCATCATAAACAAGTGAGCCTCCTTCTGCTCGCGTCGACGGGCCTCTCTCAGAGCATTTTCCTCCTCGAATTTAATCCCTAGAGCGTCACGTTAGCAGTCAATCCTACCTATGTCTCAGTGTTGATGCTACAAATTAGGTACTTACGCAGATGTGCAGGAGTATCTTCCTTGGTAACTGGACACAGGACCTTGTCGAGTCGAGTTTGGCGGATATATACCAGCATGTAAGCACTGTTCTGGCGCATGATGGGTGCCTTCTTTTGAAGAGGTGCTCTGAGGTAGCCGTTGGATGCTCTATATTCTCCGCCATAGTTCTCTTCCAAGACCTCCCGAGACGTGGCCTTTGTGACCTTGTCGTCGTCGTATTTGTAGAACCAGCCGTCCTTTGATGGTTTGATAAACGCATAATAATGTCCGGCATTCAAATCGCCGCTGTGGACAAGGACTCCATGCAGCTGGTAGATCCAAGGCTCGGAACGGTCGGCGTCCTCGACAAGGTAAGGGGCGGCGTCAAAAATGTCAGGAAACTCGTAGCGATCGTTGATCTTCATCATCATGTCTCTTTGGATGTCATATTCAAATCGTTTGAGCTGGAGATGCAGCACGTCGGGGAAGCTGTTGAAGATGACGCCCTTGTTGGCGTCCTGTAACTTGTGCTCGTCGCCAGCAAAATATTGGTTCTCTCCGTCCATCTTTTCGACTTGGATGTAGTCCTGGAAACTCTCCAAAAGGTTCTTGTTGCCACTGACGTTGAGCTGAATATCCCAAAAATCCTCGATGCGTTTTGATTCGTAGTCTACATTTATGCAAGAAATGTATGTCTTGATCTTACCACTGAAGAGCTCAGGCAAAACGTTTTCGGCCTTTGTGCCCTTCATCTTCTCCTCCATGCGTTCCATGAGTTTTCGCGACAACTCTTGCACATCTTGCTGCTCAAAGATGTGCCTCGTCTCCCATCCAAATGATTTTGTTAGCTCACTCGTGCTAACGGCTTGTTCGGATGTCTGCAACTGATAAAATAGTCTTTGCAACGTGTATGCCGAATTCTGCATGTTCTCGTCATTTTCTGTTGGAATTTCGTAAATGGCCTGTATGAGAGCATGCCCAAGTTAGCAAATCAGCCGTCTCTTAAAAAAAAAAAACAGGGAGAGGATGAAAAGGGGAGATGAAAAGAAGACGAGAGAAAGGAGGAGAACAGACTTTTCTGAAGGCGTTTGTAAAGTATAACGACTGGAGAAGGGAGTTGAGGTAGCAAGTGGCGCCTTGGTTCTTCAGACCAACATATCCAGTTTCTTTCTTTGAATCGTAGTTGGCAAAGTTGTGCCATAGCACACCGGTCTCGTCTTCGACAAAGCGAACGTAAGCTGTTATGTTAGCGGTATCACTCTCGACCAGCGGCCGGCTGTCGCCTTCCCATGGCACGTTGAACATCCTCCTAATCTCAACAAAGCGAGTAAAGCCCCAGTCCCCTTCTTCCTTAGTGAAGCGATGGTGTGCTGCGTGGTTGACATATAGGCTAGGGTCATTAGGGTTCCAAAGTACCAAGCCAAACTGCACGCAGCAACTCCAATTCTCGGGGACGGCATCAGGCTCGAATCCATGCTCCAGGTAAATGGAACATTGGTCAGTGTTGTTTCCGTGGGGGAACAGGAGGACGCGCCTAGTTGTAGCAGCGCCAGTTAGCTAAGGAGAGAAGGAAAAAGAGAATATAGGAAGAAAGGCGAGAATAAAATACCATGGGAAGCCACCTGCTTGGAAAATGGGGCCATGTTCTCTCTTGCTAAGACTTCGCCAGTTGTCGACGGTCCATGTATGTGTAAAGTCTTCGAGGATTTTGGGTTCGTCGAGCAGCGGCGGGAGGACAATTTCTTTCATGGCTTCATCTATAGCATGGCAAAGAGTCATATCAGCGACATCGCCCTTTCCAAATATGAGGGAAGAAGATGGATGGAATTGTAGAGTTTGTATGATCCATAAATGGCCTCTCGATGGCTGGGAGGATACGCACAGTCGTTGGCCAAAGGCAGGTCTTGTAGCTGATCAGCTTCGTGTTCGACGCCGCCATCTGGGTTGATGATGGCCACATGCTCTTTCTCGGGGGCATTGGGAGCACCGACATAGTCGTCTGTGTCCACGACCATGTCGTTTGGTGAAGGGATGTTGTAGCTCTGTTTGCGAGGTGGGTTGTTAGCTCGGCTTCGATACGGGAGCCCTTGTTGGCGGGCCTCGTCCTCGGACGTCATGGTGGGGATCAGATGCAGCAGAGGTGAAGTGAGTGTAGATGGTTCAGTGGAGGCAGCGAGGCGAGGTGGTCGAGCATGGATCTCGGCGGGCGCTGGTGACGAGGGCCCGGAGTGGTCGGAGAGCGTGTAGAGCGTGCAGAACTTGCCCAGCTATAGCCTTCAAGATGCTGCAGCTTCCACGCACAGCGACCAAGGCAATGCTGAAAATGTAGGCGGGCGATGCACAAATAATGGCTGCTGTGGCCGACCGGCCAAGATCGATGCTGACTGGCCGCAGGTGACAAAGATCGAGGACTGGGCAACAATGAAGAGAGACGAAGAGCAGAGGTTGAACGCAAGGATTGGAAATGACGACAGAGCAGGGCAGGGCCAAAGCTACAGCCACAGTCAAATGCCCAAGCTGGAGACGAAAAGTGAAGAGTAACCAGGGCGAAAGTGAAGATGCAGAGGGCAGACGCAGACGCAGACGCAGATGCAGGCGACGATAAGCTGATGACGATGTCGAGGTCGATGACGATGACGACGATGACGACGAGCGGCCAGAGCCTTGTGCGCAATTGCTGGGCCGCGGGATGGACGAAGCCGACTTGGCCTGGACGTGACGACAATGTGAAGGAAGACTCAAGAGAGACGTACCATGACTTCAGAAGAGGCCGACCTGAGGGCCAGGAACGTGCAGGAGCTTCCAGCTGTTGCAAAGCGCTGGCGGGGTGCAGGGCTTGGAGATGGGAGCCGAAGAAGGCGCGCGTGTGTGGCGGCAGTCGACCGTGCTGACGGATTTTCGGGGGAGTCGCAGCGGGAGCAACGGCAGCAGCCTCAGCGAGGGGCTATAGCGAGGTGGCCGCTGAATGAGCTGTGCCAGTGGGAGGAGACACAGATAGACACAGAAGGGTTTTTGTTATTGGAACGGCAAGAAGAATGAAGGTCAGAAAAATTGGAATTACGAGGAAAAGAGCACAGCGCCGCAGTGTCTTATTGGCCAGGTCTTAGTAAAAAAAAAAAGTTGCACAGCGAAGCGGGTAGCTGTGGCGGGATGGACAAGAGGCGGACAAGGGATTGAGCTTGAGAGTTGCAGACCAGCAGCGTTAAGCTGGCGATGGGGTCTCTAGGCATTTAAGAGAGAGGAATTCAGTTCTGGTTAGGGTCTTGGGTAGTGCATTTATTTTCCTGTTTATTGGGATATAGGCATCTTCTCCTTCTTGTTACGGAGCACAGCAGCCTCTTTCTGGCAACTCACGCGGTAACCAGGTTCTTTCTGTGGAGCGGCGGCGAAATCACACTACAAGTGCGTACAGGTGCACAAAGCTGCAAAGGCTGGACCGGTTTTTGCTGAATTGGACATTAACAGCAGCCTTTTTGCAAGGAGAGTTAGTGGCGGCGGTGCTTCTATCTTTGTGGCCGTGGCTCCATTCTTTTGTATGTGGAGGGGCTCCAGTAGCCGAAAGAGGCTGCAGCAGAGTGGAGGGGAACAAGAAGATGGAAGCTTGGGCTTGTTCAGCAGGTGTAAGAGAAAGTTGAAGCTGATTCAATCAGGTGGCAATTAGACACGGTATCCCAAGGCAAAAAGTCATAAAAAATCAGCATATAGAAAAGGGCAAGCATTGCTGCCAAGTTGGATTTTTTGATTCGTTGTAGCTTTGAAATCATCCATGATGCTGCCTAGCATGAGCTCTGCAAGCTTGTACAGTTAAGCTTGTTGGCGATAGCGCTCGATAATGCTGCTGCGCCGCAACTTGCAGCAGCCCTGGTAGGCAAAGACCTGCACATGCCCCGCCAGGCCATCAACTCCGCGGCATCGACCCGCAAGAGCCGAGTACAGCTCTAACAGCAATTCCGAGCTACCCCACCTCGTGCTTAAGGTACACGCACCTGGGCATCGACAGACATGTTGCTTGTCTTGGCATATACAAACACGCAGAGCAGTGCACAAGTAATGAGTTTTAAAAGAAAAGAGCCTGGCATGTCAGCGCAAGTGAGTCAATGTGGCTTGGCAGCATTACGGAGGCGCTTCTTTCGGCCAAACAGAGCCTACAAGACGGTGCTGGAAACCTGAATCACGCCTCATGCTGCGTATAAGCGACGGTCACGGCACGGCACGGGTGCTCATGTGCTCTCTGCGAGCGTGGCATTGCAGCAGCGTTGGCGTCGATGAACAAATTAATTCCCTTTGGGCTTGCTACAGAATCCTTCGTTTCATACTGAGGCGCGTGCTGCTCTTCTCTGCCTCTCCTTGCATAGGTGCCTACCATGTATATTTGCCACGCCTGTTCTGCCTTGACTTTTTCGTAGACGCCCTTGTAGACGCCCGTGGCGTAGTGCTGCAGGTACAGCAAAGAGCTCTCTCCAGCGGCTTCGACAACGCTAGCAGCAAGCAGGCTCTTGGCCATATAAACGCCCAAACTCCCCATCTACTCCTCTCCTCCGAGCTCCAATCACCACCAGCCCTTTTGAAATACTCATACAATAGCCCGCTGAGAATCCTGCATTTCACCCAAATCCGAGTTCATCGCCAAAGCCGCCTGCGATTCTTCATCTGCCCAGCCCTCTGCCTACGCCCACTCGGAGCCGATACCGCAGTCTGTGGGGCCTAGGCGACCAGGATTTGGGCTGACCAAACGTCAAGCATCTGATCTACCGGCACATGCTTCGGAGAACAGGTTTCCAAAGGGCGTTTTGACTTGAGACTGCAAAAAAAGAAGAAGCCATCTCCGGGTTCTAAATTTCTCTTTATACTCATCGCCATATTCCTGTTTACGCCCTCGCTTCAGTCGCGCTCCTCATCGCCTCTCGCCGCCGCAATCGCTCGCCGCCCCAGCATCGTCACCGGCGTCATCACCTCCACTAAAGGATTTCCCTCCGGTGCTTGTATGGAACCGTGGGCATGTTCTCCGTAGCACTGCGCTGCCACAGCAAACGATTTCGACCCCCAAACTACTCGGCCCTGGCGGCATCTTGCAGCTTGAGTCATGCAGTTCCGCGAACGACCTTTACACATCCAGCTTCTCCTGCCAAGATACAGTTGAGAAACGCGGCCCAAGCCAATGGCACGTGGCGCCCGGTTTCTGTATTGGACGAGTAAGCTCTGCCATGACTCCCATCTCAAAATATTTACACTTGTCTGGCGAACATGATTTCGCGCTACACATATCTTCCATCCAAGCTCTGCCATGTGCGCTAATCAAAGCTACTGCTGCTGTGTTATAGATGGGTTGCAAAGGAGGCGCGCCCAATCAGCTTGCGCCAGCTGATGGTCTTTGGACGCTCGCTGACCGAGTCGCGATTGATAAGCTCTGCCAACTACGTGCGCACCGAGCTTCCAGTCAGGTATGTAGCTGCCATGAGCTCTTATTCTGCTAGCGAGTCATCTTTTGCCCCGACGAGGAGGTGCTGACCGTGGCGAAATGCTGCCTACAGAATAGCGCATCGCATCCGCGACATGCAGAAGCTCCCCTACGTCGTCGTAACGAACCGACACATCGAAGAAGTCTACAAGCTCTACTACAATGCCTTTGACACATTTCGCAAGTTCAAAGAGATCAAAACCCTGGAAGACAATGACAAATTCTGCGCCGTCATCACCCAGAACCTCAAGGGCCACCTGACCGTCATCCCCAAGCTCGCAATGGGCATCCTCGAGTGCGGCGGCCTTATGGACCCAAAAGAGCTGGACCATTTTATGAATGTCATACTCCGATCGGTAAGCTAGAATGCTATTATTTTACCTTTTGCTCCATAACCTGATGTTATGACATCGAAAGCTTACCTTGTTCCCTACCAGCGCATCTCTAGACGAGTCATCGCGGAGCAGCACCTCTCCCTCACGGAAACTTTCCACTCTGCCTACTTCTCTCCCGGCGCTGAGCTCTCCGAATCCGACTTCATCGGCGAAGTCTTCATCAAATGCTTCGCCAAAGACGTCATAAGCCGCTGCGCCAAAGCCGTCACCCAGCTCGCCCGCACCACAAACGGTCCCGACGTCCAAGTCCCCGAGATCAAAATCGACGGCCACCTCAACGCGAGCTTCCCTTACATCCTCAGCCATCTCGAGTACATTGTCGGCGAGCTCCTGCGCAACTCCGTCCAGGCCGTCATCGAGCACCACCAGAAACAGCCCGACCACGCCTCTTCTCCCCCCCCTCCCATCGAAGTCACAATATGTGAGGCCCAGGAGCACGTCATCATCCGCATATCCGACCGCGGCGGCGGCATCCCGCGCGAGGAGCTCCCGTACCTCTGGTCCTTCAGCAAGGGCCCCCAAAGCCAGAAGCGCCTCAAGAACCTCGGCCAGGTACCCCGAATGGCCGCCACCATGCAGGAGCTGCACGTCACCGACGAGCTCGGCCGAGCGGACCTCAAAGCGCCCACGTACCTAGGCTCTCTATCAAGCCTCACCAGTCGGCCTCCTAATTTGCGTCTTGGTATGGGCCTTCCCCTGAGCCGCGTGTATGCCGAGTACTGGGCTGGCTCTTTGAATCTACACAGCTTAGAAGGGTACGGTGTCGATGCATTCTTGCAGATTTCGAGGCTGGGAAACAAGAATGAGCAGCTCACCACCAGAGCTAGCATGGACGCTGTTTAGGCGTTTTTATTTCTTACTTTGTTTCTGTTTCCTTTTGGTGTTCTCTTGATTTCCCATGCTTCTTGTCTCGGGCAGTTTGGATATTCAGGGAGAAGAGTTTCAAGCAGGCGGGCGATATGGATAACGAGGGTTTCTGTGTGTGTTTTGGTCTCAATTTCTACGTTGAACTTTCATCTATTAGGTATTATAGTAGCTACCGATTCATTCTATCGGAGTTGGCAAGGAGTTTTTATGGCTGGGTTTTACATACGTTGTTTGTTCATTGCTAGATCCGTCGATTTGGATGGGGCATGTCCAACAACCATCGCCTTGAGGAGTACCTATACCTTGTAGTTTCTTTTGTATTCAACGCGCATAATAGTGGCTGCCATATTAAACTGGTATCTCAACTGACTCAATTACATAAGACTAGAAAATGTGCCTAACTGTCTGAAATAGGAGGTGCTCAAATAAAAGAGGAATAAAATAGGGCTACATTATCAAAACTTCTGGCACTCTTCCACCCTTGTCGCTGATTTTGGGCAACAAACCATAAAATGTTGCTCTGTTCCACCGTCAAAGTCACGGGGGATAATCGCCGTGACAGTTTTAGCATCAGAACCGAAGGGGGACAATAAATAAATAAATAAAAAAACCTTCAACCTCAACAACTCATCAAGAAATAGTCGCCTCGCCCCTTCCCGTGGCAGTAGCCGCTCAGAATATGCATGAAATAAGCGCCACCGCTGTGGCATTCAATACACGGCGCTTTCACCCTCTTGATTTAAAACAAGGGTGAGGCAGACCGATGGAACCCCGAGATCATGATACTCCAACGCCAGCATGGTTTGGTTGAAAAGCCGGCATTAGATGATTTATCGGCGACCATGGCTTCGGACGGCATTTCCCTGCATAGCCTCAAGCTCGTTCTCCAGCTGCTTGATTTGGGCGTGGGTCTGCTCGAGATCCTTATTGAGACGATCACGCTCAGCAATGAGCTTCTGTTCCCATTGTCGGAAGCGCTGCTCCTCGACCTTGACCTGCTCAGTGAATCGCTTTCGTAGGGCCTCCTCCTCTTCCTTAAACTTGGGGTTGTCGAGCTTCCGAGGTCGAGCCTCGCCGAATTTGCGAGTCTCCATCTGCTGTGCTCGGTAGGCCTCGTAGTGAAGCTCCTCGGTGGTGTGGATAAGGTCGAGCATGTGGGTGCGAATCAGAATGGATCGCAGCTTCTTGAAGTCGCAGTGGTCTTCGTTTTCGACCTCGGCAACACCCCAAGAGTACTGACGACCCTTGACGATGCGGCCATCGCTAGTCTTGACGTCCTTCTCAGAGCCGATGACGGCAAACGGCATAGCGGCCATAAGGCTACGCGCGTGCTGGGCAGCAGCCTCGTCATCCTCCTCGATAGGGGGCTGGTAGATCTTGATGTTCTGGGCCTCGATGACGCTCACAATCTATAAAACGTTAGAAACGTTGCGCGTAGAAAACATATGGCTTCTCATATTCATTCATACCCTCTGCTTGAACTTGGCCAGGTCAGCTGGGCTGAGAGTATCAGCCTTGGCAATCACGGGGATCAGGTTGACTCGTGAGCAGAGGCGCTTCATAACCTCGATATCCAAGGGCTTCAGGGTGTGGCCGGTAGGGCGGATGAAGTACAGGCAGGCATGGACACGGAGATCAATCTTGTCCTGGCGGCGGGGCTGCTGCTCCTGAAGCATGTAAGACTCGTGCTGGTCGTCGAGGAACTCGATGATGGGTTGCCAAGAATCGCGGTTGTTGACATAGTCACCGAAGCCGGGGGTATCAATGACCGTCAATCGAACTAGAAAGAGTCAAAAAGTAGGTTTTAGCACATCATCTGGCACCAAACGTAGAGTCTCCTTTAATTAGGCAGCCAGCCCTTACCCTTGAAGAACTTCTCCTCAAGCTCGGCCTTGGTGATCTCAATCTCGACCGTCTTGTCGACCTGCTTCTGGTGTCTGCGCTTGTGATCGGCGTAGTTCTTGATGGTGGTAGAGAAGAGGGTGTTGATGAAGGTGGTCTTGCCCAGGCCAGACTCGCCAGCAACCTAACGATTTGCGTCGGCGTGTTAGTTACTCGGAGGCAGAGCTAGAAACGTGGTGCTGTAGCCACGCCGTGAACGCGTTTGTCGACGGCAAAATAGAGGGACAATCGCGTACCATGATGGTGAAGCCAGCACCGCGCTTGGCGACAATCTTGTGTCGCTGGTTGGGCAGATTGGCAATGCCAATCGGTGAGGCGCTCTCAGCAGCTGCGGGAGCCATCTTGCACACGTGGAGGGGCTACGGATTGGGAGTCTTGGGCGAGATTGGAGGAGAAGAGAAACCAGCGAGAGGGCGGAGGCAGACGATGGCAGCTGCAGCAATGGGAGCAAAAAACGGAGACAGGAGGAAGATATTCACAAGTGGCCGTTGGCGCTGCTCGAGCAAAACAGAGTGGAGGTTCCAACTTGCTGAGCTTGAACTTTCAGGGGATAGAAGGGGTTGAGGCGGTCGTATCCCCCAATTTTCCACACCTTAGAATTGGCCAGGGGCTGGGCGCTGCTGATTGGGCGGGTGGCAGCTCTTGGCTGATTGGGTCTAGCGGGCTGGTGCGGCCGACTGGGGGGATACAGAGAGCAAGAGCAGCGCGGAGCAAGGCAGGAGCAAAAGGCGGGCGGTCTCCTTTTTTCTACCATTGGCGTCAAAGTGAAGTGAGCAGTTCGTGTTAACGGAGCATGGAGGGCAGGACAGGGCCAGTGGTTGCAAGTACCGAGTACAGTGGGCTGCTGGTGGATAAAGTGCGCTGAGTGACAGCAGCATCGTTGCCAATTTGGTAGCTGGTACCTGCTCTAACAGGACGGATGAGATGAGGTGGTCAATGCGTTTCAAAGCACCGTCGTACCATTCAAAGTGCCTTGGTGCAGTGGGCTTAAAGGCCAAGGAGCGGAATAAAGTATCTGCCGGGCGTTCCAACTCAATCGCTGACCTGGCTGGCTAAGAAAAAAAAATCACAATGGGTCCGTATCGATAAGAAAGTCGCAGCTTGATTTTTTGATGCGACTGCGCCGGGCATTGAAAGAGCTTCACATCATAGTATAATATCACCAGATCATGGCAAGTGGCCGACAATGAAGACCGATTTTAGGGTAAGATTTTGCGACATGAGCACGAAATTCAGATGATCCGGCCCCGAATATTGCCCAATTGTTGATTATCCCGATCCAATGTGCAACTTCAATCTTCAAAACGAAATCTGGTGCTAATCGTGAGGCTTCCTAGTTTTCCAATTTGCTGGGCACTGTCTACTGCCAGGGCAACTTGGTGTACAGTCCAGATGGCACCCATCTCTTTTCACCCGTCGGAAATCGCGTCACCATCTTCGACTTGGTAAAGTATGTCATGCCGGCGCATTGTACCAAAGCAATGTCTCCCCGAGTATCATTGGACTGGATGGCTGACTCGATACAATAGCAACAAATCCCACACTCTGCCCTTTGCCCATCGCAAGAACATTGCTCGAATCGGCCTCTCACCCCGCGGCAATCTCCTTCTCACCGTTGACGATGAGGGTCATGCGATCCTGACCAACGTTCCCCGCCGTGTATCCATCTATCACTTCTCCTTCCGCTCGCAGGTCACAGCGCTCTCATTTTCGCCTTCAGGTCGATACTTTGTCGTGGGCTTGGGCCGAAAACTCGAAGTTTGGCACGTTCCTTCAACCCCAGATACAAATGCCGAGGGAGAGCTTGAGTTCGCCCCCTTCGTAAAGCGCCGCACCTACACCGGTCACTTCGATTCAGTACAGCATATCGAGTGGTCTAGCGACTCCCGATTCTTCCTTACAGCCTCTAAGGATTTGACGGCAAGGATATGGAGCGTTGAGCCTGAAGAGGGTTTCGTTCCCACCATTCTTGGTGGCCATAAGCAAAACGTGATTGGTGCTTGGTTTTCCGCTGACCAGGAGACAATCTACACGGTCAGCAAGGACGGTGCGGTGTTCAACTGGAAATACGTCAAACCGCTCAACCGTACGGAGGATGATGACGATAGCGACGATGATTCGGACATGAGATGGCGCATTGTTGAGCGACACTACTTTATGCAAGGTAGTGCACATGTGCGATGTGCCTTTTTCCACGCGGAAACCAACCTCTTGGTGGCTGGCATGTCCAACGGTCTTTTCAGCCTTTACGAAATGCCCGACTTCAACAACATTCATAAGCTTAGCATTTCCCAGAGCGACGTTGACTTTGTAACAATCAACCAGAGCGGAGAGTGGCTGGCTTTTGGTGCCTCGAAGCTGGGACAGTTGTTGGTCTGGGAGTGGCAGTCCGAATCCTACATTCTCAAGCAGCAGGGCCATTTCGACTCAATAAACTCCCTCGTTTACTCTCCAGATGGACAGCGAATCATCACCACTGCTGATGATGGCAAGATCAAAGTATGGGATATCGAGTCTGGCTTTTGCATCGTCACATTCACGGAGCACACCAGTGCCGTCACGGCATGCGAGTTTGCCAAGAAGGGAAATGTACTCTTCACATCAAGTCTTGATGGTTCAGTCAGGGCGTGGGATCTGATCAGATATCGAAATTTCCGTACCTTTACGGCTCCCACAAGGCTGTCCTTTACATGCATGTCTGTTGACCCCAGCGGCGAAGTGGTTGCAGCAGGATCACTCGACTCATTTGATATTCACATTTGGTCTGTACAGACCGGCCAGCTGCTTGATCGGTTAGCAGGTCATGACGGTCCCGTATCTGCCTTGGCCTTTACACCAAATGGCAACTCCTTGGTCAGCGGTAGCTGGGACAGGACTGCACGGATATGGTCAATCTTTGACAGAACCCAGACGAGCGAGCCGCTGCAGCTTCAGGCTGATATTCTCGACATTGCCGTCCGACCGGATTCCCTTCAGCTGGCCGTTTCGACAATTGATGGCCAGCTGACGTTTTGGTCAATATCAGAGGCCGAGCAGACTGCAGGTCTCGATGGTCGCAGGGACGTGTCTGGTGGGCGAAAATCCTCAGACCGGAGAACGGCTGCCAATGTTGGCGGCAACAAGAGCTTTAGCACAATACGCTACAGCACCGACGGAAGCTGCCTGTTGGCCGGTGGAAACAGCAAATACATCTGCCTGTACTCTGTGTCAACCATGGTGCTGCTGAAGAAGTTTACCGTCAGCGTGAACCTGTCTCTATCCGGAACTCAAGAGTTCCTCAACAGCAAGTATCTGACGGAAGCCGGGGCCATTGACGATATCGACATGCAAGGAGAGGCATCCGACCGCGAAGACCGGGTCGATGCAAGCCTACCTGGATCGAAGCGTGGCGGAGATCCTTCAGCTAGAAAGCGGAAGCCACAGGTTCGCGTCACAGGCGTTGCCTTTTCGCCTGCCGGATCCGCCTTTTGCGCTGCTTCTACAGAAGGCCTCCTTATCTATAGCTTGGATCACACTCTACAGTTCGATCCATTCGATCTCAACATTGAGATTACGCCTGCTTCGACTTTGGCAGTATTGGAAAACGAAAAGGACTATCTCAAAGCGTTGGTGATGGCATTCCGACTAAACGAAGCTGGTCTTATCAAGAGAGTTTTCCAGGCGGTACCACCAGCCGACATTCCCCTCGTCGTATCCGATATCCCCATTGTCTACGTACCCAGACTCCTCCGCTTCGTTGCTGCCCAGACAGAAGAATCCCCTCACATCGAATTCTGCTTGTTGTGGATCAAGGCGCTGGTTGATAAGCACGGCGCCTGGCTCACGGCTAATCGCGGCAAGGTAGATGTCGAGCTGCGAGTGGTCTCGCGGGCAGTGGTAAAGATGAGAGATGAGATCAGGAGATTGGCTGATGAGAACGTGTACATGGTGGATTACCTGCTGGGCCAGGCCGATAATAACAAGGATGAAGAGAATGGTAATGGCAATGTGACCCTGACCAGTGCTCAGCAGAAGACGATTGACGCAGTCATGAATGGTACGGCGGAGTCGGGCGAGTCTGACGAGGATGGTGAGGATGAGTGGATGGGAATGGACTAAACTTTTGAACTTTTTTGAATAGGAAGCATAACTGGGTTATTTACAACACTAGACTACATAAAAATACAAAAGATATCCTAAAGTCGCGCGCCAGTATGGTTGGCCCCAAGGTTCACATTGTTTTCGTGATCAGCATCCTTACGCTCTTCATTCCTTTGCTTCCTTTCAATTTTGTTACAAAGGAACCGTATTTCACCCTTACCTTTCCTTGGGCACATTCTTCCATGCCTCTTCAAACCCAGCAGATCTCACCCACAACGCAGGCTCTTGCGGGCCTTCTGTGCCCTGCAACAGAATCTGATGGACCTTGAACCACGTCTCGTCGTCAGCAATGCGAATCCACGGCCTACCAGCATACTTTTGAGATAGCTCCTGGGCAAGTAGCAGCGCGCGGACGACCTTGATGGTATGCCCGTCATCGATAATCTCGTGGAACCGCGGGACTAGGTCAGCTGGCTTCGTGGCGGAACTGGAAGCCTGCCGTTTCGGAGAGAAGGACTTGATAGCGTCGAGGCGGAGCGGTGGGCATCCTCGAGCAATGTATTGGATAAGATCAAGACGGATTTTCCATTCGAGGATACGGGCTTTTTGAGAGGGCCGGAGCCAGGGGAAGGACAGGAGGGTGACGAAGAAAGGGGTCGAGTTGAGGTGGTGACTAAAATGAAGAAGTTTCCGTGAGCAAGAAGAACTAAGAAGAAGATGTGTCGTAAAAGTAAAAAAGCTTACATCAGAAAGAAGTCAAACTTGGGATTATTCGGCAGATGAAACGCCGCCGCCGCAGCAACATACGCGCACGAGTGCACCATCTCAGCAAGCCTCTCATCCAGCTCATCCTCATGCACCCTGACCTGCTTCACAAACTCCAGCGCCTCATCCGGCGCACGAACAAAGATGCCGTCGTAAATCTTGTTCTTGTCGTCAAACCGCGCGCTCGTGGCGAGCTTCTCGCTGAATTGCCGGACAGACTCAAAGAGCTCCGGCAATGGAGGCGTATCATGTGCGGAGGCAATGGCGGCTTGTTCGGCTTTGGCGAGGAAGCCGCCTGCGCGGTTCTCGTGAACGGCGGCTTGGGCGAGGCCTTCGGCGATGATGGCGGGTTGCTGCCATTCGATGCCGTACATGAGTTGGATGAGGGGGTGGAGGAAGCCTGAATAATCGCCATTCGCCAATCAGCCCATTTTACAATTACTTGTTGCAAAAAAAAAAAAAAAAAGCATAATGTCCATTTTTCAAAGCGGCATAGATGGATGGATAGATACGCACCAGCAAAAAGACGTCCAAAGATGGCTTCGCTCCTCTCATCCTCCTTGAAGACATACTCCAAAAGGACCTTTTCCCACCCCTTTGCCTCAATTTCGTCTTGAAAGAACTTGAGAAAGTCGGGGTAGTGCTTCCCCTTTGAAAGGTAAGGAGAGCCTTCCGTCCAGCCTTTCTTGAGCTCCTCGACGACGCCGGGATGGGTGTCCATGGCTTTGATTTGGTAAGAGTGGTTTTCGGCATAGGCCTCTTCGAGGGTGCTGGGGGATGCACCGGTGGCGTAGAGGGTGAGGAGGAAGTGGACAATCTGGTTATACTCTATTAGCTTTCGTTGAATTCGTAGTGGGTGACTGAGTTGTCATTGCAAGATGTATGTTGAATCTCAATAGCGATAAAGGCGAGGAGACGGTATGTACATGATTGTGGAAGCCCTCTGCATTGAAAAAGACGTGGTGGCTCTGTCCTTCCAATTAGCTGCCATTCTTTAGCTCAATCAAACAATTGTTTCGAGTAAATACCTCGAGATCCTTTTGCAGCAGCTCAGAGACCTTTGCAGCAGCCTCATCTGTCTGCTTCCACTTCAACAGCCCCGTATCGCTGGCGGGAACGCGAATCTGCCACGGCGTCGCCATTGTCGAAGCAGCTCGATTTCGAATTGAAAAGGGCAAAAACGTCTGATGGCGTCGAAATAAACGTGTCGAATTGTGTCCGAGCACTTGTAATAAACCAGCTTGTTGTCGCGTATTCGATAGCAGTGCGGATGAGACCGATGCCATTTGTTTCGTCAGACGCGGACATAAATCTATATTATATCACTGCATTAGATGCCACGTGCCGCTTGTCGTTGCATCACCAATTAACCAATATAAACGTCGATGTTGCAAAGAGGTTGCATCTCCAAAGCTGACAAATTTCGCTGCAAAAAGCTGACTGATTGCCTCTGTTCGCATGTGGGATGCGTCTCGGACTTCCGATGATGGCCGTTTAAGTTGACGATCTCACATGGTTTCGAAATGTTGGGCTGCGGATTGGCTGCGGTGCTGTGAAAAACGGGGTTAAACGTTCGGCTCGGCACTTATTAAGAGGGAATGGGAAAGGCGAATTGCGAGACGGCAAAGTGTAATGGCAAGCGATGGCATGTGGTTAGATTGGTTTTGGGAATTTGGGGTATGAAATGTCACATTTACATCATAAGCTAGGCATATCTTGGAGATCGAATTAGATCCGACGCCAAACGCCAGTAGCCGTAAGAGCTAACACATTAACAGCAGTCGGGACGAGCACATGTAGATGAGAAGAGAATAGAATCAGAGGTTGCCAGAGATGAAAACTCTGTAGCAAGTCTTGTAGTATTTTTGTCAATCTCGTTCTAAGATCAAAGTAAAAGTTGAGAGCACCATGCTCAGACCCCAGTCCTATCAGTCCACCCATTTTTTTAAATCCTTTCCGGAAATCGTCATCATGAATATGTATTTTTAAATCCCGTTTCTCAACAGCTGTATATAGTCTTGTGATAAAGAGCAGCGGGTTGGTATGTTGTATAAAAGAAAAAGCCTTTGAGGGAATATTTTTTTCAAAAATAAAAAAAAAGAGAAGTCGTTAAATCATCAGTGAGAACCTTTAAGCCTTGCGCTTCTTGGAGGGCTGGGCGTCTTCCTCGCCATCATCCATCTCCTCGTCAGACTCAAAGTCGATGTCGCTCATGGCATCTTGCTCTTGGGCAGACACTGTTGAGTTTTGTCTTAGCGCTTGGACTCATTCATCGTCTGATTCCTCCGAAGAATTCTCAGAGGCATGAATGTACTCACAGAAGTACTTGATGGCACCGGGCCAGAGATCCTCAGCGATGCAGACGGCAAGGTCGTCGGCGGTGGGGAAAATCTCCATCTCGTACTCGTCGTCATCCTCATCCTCATCCTCGTCATCCTCATCGGGAATCTCCTTGCCCGCCTTGCGGAGCTTACGCTTCTCCTCCTCCTCCTTGATGGCAGCCTGGTTCTCCTCCTCGGTGATATTGAGACCACGGAATCCGAACCAGGCAAAGAAGCTGACGCCGTCGAGGCCAGTGCTCTCCATCTGAGACTTGAGCTTCTTCTTGGCCTCGGTGTCATCGCCCTTGCCGGCCTTGTCGTCCTCCCAGACCTGGTAGACGAGGTCCAGCATGCCGCTGGTCAGGTCCTTGTCGGCCTTCCAGTTGATCTTGACAGGCTCACTGACGAGGCCCGCCCAGCCATCCTTGTTGCGGCGCCACCAGAACTTCTTCTCGAGAACCTTGTTCTCAAAGTACTCGTTCTCGCTGAACTCGAACTTGATGGCAATGCTGCGAGGGTCGCCGTTGGGAAGCTCGAATCGCTCCACAGACAGGTCGACGAGGGAGCTCAGCAGGACGGCAGAGTCAGTCGGCTGGACGTACTCGTCGATATCCGGGGGAGCCTGCTCGAAGACGAGAGGCCAGAAGTTGGGGATCTCAGCAACGACCTTGGCGCGCTTGGCGTACAGGTCCTTGGTGAGCTTAGCCTGCTGGCGGACTGCGGACTTGTTAGCACTCTATGGTTTTGAAGATTTCAAACCAGAGTAAGAAAGGTCCCTTCTCTTTCTAGCTCTAGTGCTCATATAGACTAGCTTGCACGACGAGAGAAATTCGTGGAAAGGGAACCAAGGGTGGATTGATGACGCTGCTCATTTGCAGATTGCGCGATTCCAGCAGCAATAGGCAGAATGAAGCATGCCCAATAGCTCGCCACCAGAAGAAACAAAGAGAGGGCAGGTCTAGGTTGAGTGGCAGCAGAGGTAAAACTTACGGAGCTCGAGCTCAACCTGCTCGAAGTCATCCTCGAGGTCCTCGAGTTGCTCGTAGGAGACGGGGTTATCAATGTTCTCAGCAGACATTTTGGCGGCTATGTGTTGCAACTGAATAAAATGGGAGAGAGAAAAAGGATGCTTGATGCAGAAGGGAGATTTGTTGAGGGGGGGGAGCTCGCTGCCTCTTTATAAGGTGGAACTAGCTAGCTATAGGTACCCAGATGACGTTAACTGGGTTAAGGCGAGAAAATTTTCTCTCGTCGACGGAGGCACAGAATATGTGGAGGGCCGTAAACAAACAAACAAATCAATGCAGGCAGAGCTTGTGTATGTAAGAGAAAAAACTCGACGTCGACTCAGTCAAGGAGCTTGCAGAATGGAAATTTTGCGTAGCGGTACCTTGCGCGCTGGATCCCTGTACTGCAGGCGTGCTTGGGACGGAAATGGCAAAAGCGGGAGCCACTAAGCCCGCTGTAGCTTGGCGGAGGGTCCACTGAGTCAAAGCTCTTGCAGCGCAGGGGTCCACTGAAGGCCGCTCGAAGAAAAAATTGAGATGGAGAACCTGGAGCCTGAAAAAAAAAAAGTTTTTGGAGCGATCTGGTACTTGAGGAGAACACACGATTTGTATAGCAGAGGCAGGTCACCGAAAGTTCTTGGGCATCACGCTCCACTTCGGATGCGCATAAAATTGGAAGAGGAGAAGCAAAAAGAAGAATGAGCTAGAATCAGGCTAGGTTGCTCCAGACACGGCGAGCAAAACGCCACCCCGAAGGCCGCCTTCCATGCTTTGAAGCTGATGCGTGTGATTCGCTGCGGAGAGGAGCCAATGGAAGCACAGACACCGCCTTTGTAGAAGAGACAAAGACAAGTATGATCCCCAAGAGCCATTGGTGTGGGATGAAGCTGCATGCATAAAAGTGCCGAGGGACAGATAAGATACAGCAGAACAGTTTGGGGCCTTGTTAGACGCCACATATCTCACAGATGGGGCATCTCTGGGTGTGTTCCATAATACAAGATGATCAGCTTCATGTTACTTTTTTCTCAGCAGCAGGTTCAACCACGTCTCTCACTGCATTCTGATTCTACACATTTCCATCACGATCTGAGTCGGCAAAAAATCCTTATCAGATAAGGCTTGCCCCTCCCCCGCCTCAGCTTGGCAACCCCAACCCACCTTTCTTGACTCTCTCTCTATCTAGTAATAGCTTATTGGTAGCAAAACCAATGTTGAACACTGCTGCTTTTGCCATTCTCGCTTCAACAATAGTAAAAGATATTTTCAATTGACCCTTTATCATATCTGAAGCGAGATGATGTCATTTTTCTGATTTGTTTCATCTTCTCCTCTCTTGGAAGAAAAAGGTGGCTACAACTCTTCTACTCTCAATTCCTCAAACTATCACTTAAACTACCTACCTACCAGTACTATCATCTCTTCTAACTCAATCTTGACATACCACAATCGAAAACTCTCATCTCTGCATTGAGATTCAAACGTCATCGAATCACAAGATGCCTACGCCAATTGACCTTGGACAGTCCACCAGACTCAACTGCGAAGTTGCAGTCTTCAGCGGTGCTTCTGGTCTCGAAGCTCAAGACTTGGGTGCCAAACGCATCGAGCTCAATGCCCCAGGCTCTTACGAAGCAGGTGGCCTCACACCCCCCGTCAAGGAACTGACTTCAATTGCCTCGCAGCTTGAAATCGCCGTCCGCATCATGATCCGTCCTCGCGGGCCTCCTCGCGCTGTCGTCTCGCCTGGTGGAGAAGAGGGCCAGCAAAGGCCAGATCAGCAACAAGACCATGAGCTTCAAGACTTTGTCTATACCAATGATGAAATCGCTCTCATGCTGCAGGCAATCGCCGACTTCAAAGCCACTGGCGTCATGAATCCCATTCGTGGAGACGGTTTCGTCTTTGGGGTACTCAAGCGCCAGACCAAGCCTTCAACTCTTGCCAAATATCCCGATCTCAAGTACACCATCGATGAAGAGCGCTGCAAACTTCTCATTGATGCTGCTCGACCTTTTCCCTGCGTCTTCCACCGCGCCTTCGACCCCATTGCCGCAAGCGAACGCTGGGCCAAGGGTATTGATACTCTCGTTCAATGCGGCTTCGATGGTGTCCTGACTTCTGGCGGCATGGGCAACTGTTGCCAGTATCTTGACAAGATTGACGCAATCTGCCACCGCGCTGCTCCTCATAGCCTTCAGGTCGTTGCGGGAGGCGGTGTCCGCCGGAACAACGTGGGAGAGACGGTCGCGCAGCTTTCAGTCCACGGCACTAAAAATGTGTGGATTCACACTGCTTCGCTCACCGACAGAGTTGACCATGATGGCCGCAGGCTCGAAGAGCTCGACGGGCGCCAGCTCAAGGGAATTGTGTCCACGATCAATACCACCAAGCCAAGCTAGAAGTCCCCGGCCGACCATTGGCGCGAACACTATGCCCATCTTTATCAGTAAGCCGCGAGCAGTCGCCAATTTGAGCAGAATCTCAACTCAATCCTCTGTGAATTTCAGCATGATCTACTATATTTATTTTCTCGCTATTATCTCTATTTCTTTCGTGTACTTTACTTGGTTTATTCACTTCTTTACCATTATCCCCTCTCTTCTCTTTGTACCGGTTGATATAACGACTCGACTACGTTTCTTTCTTCAATTTCAACAGTACAATTACAGGCGATTCCATTTTTACTATCATACAAGCAGATTCCCAGAAATAGATCTGATGAGCTTCATGGCAAATATTAAAGCACGGGAAAAGATTTTCAATTGTCTAGGCAGAGTAGAATTCTGATTTCATTGTTTGAAGAACCAGAAAAGAGCCTAAAATATCATCAAAAATATAAAGGCATTCTTTCTCAAGTTTTGTTATATACAACGTGCAATCATTTGCATCAGCATATGGAATTACGGCAGTGCCGATTATAACTTGCTTGGTGCAGCACCGCAACTCAGTCATATCCTGGATTTGAGCCAGCGACAACTACACGCGAGATGATTCACATCTGTATATACGCCTCAGTTGACAAGAATTAGGCATTAATAGCAGCCAAGAAAAGGATTGAGAAAGCCAAAGATGCAAACCGGCGTCTACCACGCCTTTCAATAAGCTTCCCTCCGATGGGCTGTTGGCGGAAGACTTCTCCAACCTGCGCAGAGCCCAAGACTTACCCTCACAGTCGCTCATCGATTGCCGTCATCTACCTATATATAACTGTCTATTAACAATTCGGGCTGGTATGGCTTGACTGACGTCGAAATTAAGTAATTTGCCAATCTTCAATAATAAACTACTCAGCTACAAAGAGTAGTTAACCCAAACTACTCTACCAAAGTTTATCTCAATCTCCACCCCATTGGAATGTACACCCTCAGAGAGGACTCGGATAAGAAGACCCAAATATCCATGCAAGAACAAGTGACTTGAATTCAATGAAAGGTATAGACAATTTGGTTTCTCTTCTTCTAGCTTCGCACTATGGTAGCCACAGACATCCAAAGCATCCTTCAATATCATTTCAAAGATCCCGCCCTCCTCAAAGAGGCTCTCCATGCCGGCTCTTCAACTTCATCGACATCTCGACAAGGTGGACGGGAACATGAAAATAAAGCCTTGGCAATGATTGGCGATGCCGTGCTCAGGCTAGTCGTAGTCGACGATGGCATCGTAGGGGGCAAAACTCGTCGTAGGTCCATCAATGTCCAGATTCAACGCCCAGCTCTTCTAGATTATAGCAAATGTTAATGGAGCTTGTTTCGTTGCAACTTATTTAGAGAGCTGCCACCAAATTTGGGTAGCAGAAACGTCGAATCCTGCCTTGAGCACCATCTTCGTTAAATGGAAGATAATTCGCTTTGTTCGTTTACCGCCGGAACACACGACAATCGTGTCTCAAACTACAGCTGCTTCAACAATTGAGGCATTGGTGGGCGCGGTTTGGATCGACTCGGATCGCGACTTTGATACAGTTCATCGAGGTAATTCATAACCTCCATATCGGTATAGGAGCGCAAAGTAGCAATCGCTTGGCATGGTGGTAGTAGCCTAAGCTTCAGACGCATGTCCCTGCCATTGTGGAGTCTATTAGGTAGCATTAGACATGTCTATATTGATTATGTTACCAAACGTTGCAAACCAACAGAAAGTTCTACGTTCTTCGTTCATTCATAAATACACATCGTCTATTCGAAGCCAAACGGAACCGCAGTAGCCTTTATAGTAACCCTAGCCGCCGGCGTCACATCCTGATCCTCACTACTAGGCGTGTCATCCTCCACAAGACTCGTAATCTCGGTAACTTCTGCCCCCTTTTCCAAATCTGTCCAGGCCGGCTTGTTAATCTTCTCCGAGCCAGCCTCGCTCTTGAAATGGTATCCTCTCGCTCTAGGTCGTTCTCCCGTGCCTTCGGGGAATAAAGGCTCATACGCAGCAGCGAATCTATTCACGGCATCCTCAAATACAGCCTGTCCTTTGCCAAGAGTCTCGCGAATGCCAGCGAAGAATTCATTGACGACGTGATGATTGTGTATTTGCAAGAGATTCCAGCCCAGCATTTCTTTTGCATTCAGAAGATGGCGGAGATAGGCTCTGTGATGCTTTGTGCAGGTATAGCACTGGCAACCTTCTACCAGGGGTGCAACGGCCGTGTCATGCTCGGGGGACCACATGTTGATTCCGAGCGGCTGGACTTTGTCAGAGCTGGGAGGCGGGAAAGAGAATGTCATGCCCACACCGGCATCAGAGGTGCTGTTCACAAACATTAATGTGCAAATATCGATGCCGAGAGAAATCTGACGCAGGACCTCATGTGGGGTCCTTGGGGTATCCATGGACAGCTTGGGAAGAGGTGCTAATGAAGGATAGCTGACAAGGTCCGGAAGGATGTTTGTATCATAGACTGCCAGACCAGACAGCTTTTCAATCACATCTTCAGACAGATGCCTGATATAGTCCCACTGAATAGGGTGGCCCACTGGAAGCACTGGTGCAAACACCGAGCTGCCCAAAGTATCTGAAGACTTGGACAACGCCATGCGGTCGAAGAACTCGCCCAACCACATTTCTGTCCTATCCACCATTCGGGCAAGCTTTTTGGACGAAGGCGTTGCACCAGGATTCGGCAAGTCGGCCAGCGGGAGTACAATATCAGGCTGCAGCGACTGAATGTAGGACGTAAACTCCGGTATCGTTACGTTGCGGAATCCAGTGGATGTGAAGACGGTGATTGTCTTTGGTGTGTTTCCAAAAGGAGTTGCAACTGCCGCGCATCTCCGAGGGCCCAATATTGAGACTGTACTTGAAGGCAGAGCCGTAAAGCTATGCAGACGACGTGAAGTCTCCCCAACAGGGGTGTGCTGAATAGGAGGTTCCTTTTTCTCGATGACTGTTAATCACAGTTAGAATACTTTGTTGCTTCTTCATACGTTTAGATAAATGATGTCTCACATTCTTCAAGTGCCATGTAAACTCCGCTCACAGTGGTGTGTCTTTTGAAATTATCAGGAGTTAGATGAGGCACAGATCCACGAGAGGTGGCCGCGATGAAATTCGGCGTCTCGATGGCTTTTCTGCCAGGAAGAGACAACTTGCCAAGCCGTGCTGCAGACCCATCGGCGGCGGCAGAGGCTATCAGCTCGAATATCTTTCGGCCAGACATGTCGGCAGAATTCTCCAGGCTTGGATCACTCATTTTGAGTCGCCACTGCTCTAGGGTTGGATATAAAAAAGAAGAAGAAAATAAACTAGACAGATTAGTCCAGAAGATTGCGGTTGAATCTATGCATAAAAGTCTATAAAACGCCACGGTGCATATAATCAACGCCGCTTGTAAATTTTATCGTCGCTGCAACAAGTCCTCAAACGCGCAAACAAAATGTCGATGATTGCTTGAATCACACAGCCTTGCTGTGAATAGCCCACCATCTGCATTCACCGGACCGATAAGGCACTTCGACATGGCTTATCATTTCCCGATATTCAACCGATACTTAGTACTCGCGCTTTACCCTTTCCAGAAGCGCCTTGTCTGGGCGATTTCTTATGTACATCGCCAATATTAGGGAGACATTATGTTGGAATAAAGCAGCTGCCAAGCCTCAAATACCGCTCAGAGGTCTCTGCGTCGCTTGGCGAGATGAATCAAGATACTTTTAGAATAGGAGTATTCACACCAGATAAATAATGAGCGTATTAATAAATGTCTTCTGTCCGCTCTCCAACTAGGTTTGGTTAGGTCACTGAACGGATCCGTCAACGTGAAGAAGAAACCCGAAACAGCGCGAATGTCTGAGACAAGAAGAGCGTCATCTGAGCCCTTTGTCTGTTTCTGCACTGCTCAATAGCAACTTCGCAACCAAACACGACCATCATCAGAGATCTACGATTCGCGATCCTTTTCTTGCTTGTTATAAAGAGCCAGACAGCTTAAGCCCAGTAGCGTGTGATGAGTGCCGATTCGCCCAATCATACTGCGCAAGCTAAACCGCGTGCCGCTTACTCCGTCCTTGCGACGCTCCATCTCCAGACATCCCGAGCTTCCGGAGCGATTGACTGTTTCGACCCACCAGATCCCCTGTATTTAGAGGCTGAGCCGTCCGTCTGAAGCCCGTTTAGTGGCGGTGATAATCGTTATTTTGCCCGCTGCGAGCTTACGTTACAGTTGGATCTGTAACGAGTACGAGCGTCTCTCTCTCTCTCTTCTCTCTTTTCCCTCTTTCTTCCCCCAAGCGCTCATCAGCCATGGTGAGACCATTCGAGCCTTACCACGATGAACAGGAACCACTCATGAAGGACGATTCAGAGCGCAACGATGCCGGCACCGGCGCTGGCGCTGGAACCAGCACCGTCACCGAGATTGACCATCCTGATGCGCCGCTAGAGACTCCGAGTCCCGTCGCAGTTGTTGCGACTAACAGCCCCGGCACAGCGCTCGAAGTCATCGACGACAACAGCAGCAGCGACGGCAATGCGCCCACGCCGCGCTTCATCCAGGACGAGCGCTCGTCCAAGCGCTGGAAGAAGATTCCCTATCCCGTCCGCCGCGTCCTGCTCGCAATTGGCAAATGGTCAAAGGGCCCGCCCAACGCCCAGCCGTACCGCATAAAGCCATTGTTCCCGGTCGTGCAGGAATATCCGCTGTTCCTCGTGGAGCGATTCCTGCCCAAGGCCTATCGCTTCTGGACCGTCTTTCTTTACTTCTCCGTATGGCTCATCACATTTGTGCTTGTCAAGCGCCAGGAGACGATTGCCTCTACCGTCGCGGGTTGGGGCCAGTCGCAGCCCATCAGCTGCGGTGATACATACTGGAGCGCGGGCAACGGGTGCGGCTTGGATGGAAACGACTGCAGGCCGTTCAATGGCAGTGGATTCGCTTTCCAATGCCCGGCCTCGTGCGACAGCTACCATGTCCTGAATCCCAGAGCAGTTGGCGACCAAGAGATTATTTACCGGTCGTTGGTGATTGGAGGACCGTCCAGCGACGTCCATCCCGAGCTGGCTACATATCGCGGCGACTCGTACATTTGCGCCTCGGCTGTCCACGCCGGCCTCTATGCCGACTCGAAGGGAGGCTGTGGCGTCGTGGAGCTTGTTGGCCAGCAACAGGACTTTATCAGCTCTCAGCGAAATGGCATTCAGAGCATCAGCTTCGATTCCTACTTCCCGCTATCGTTCCGATTCGTCCCGGACATCAAATGCACAGCCAAGGATTCGAGATGGTCCATCTTGGCTCTCTCAGTCGTCTTCACCAGCGTTCTGTCGCTTTTCACGGCTAATCCGGCACTCTTCTTCTTCCCCACGTTCACTGGCTTGTTCTGGGCAGTCGGCATGTCGCTCGACCAGCCCGGGCACTCGACCGTTACCGATCTGTTCTCCAATATTCTGGGCAAATATGTGCCTGCCATGTTCTGCGCATGGGTCATGTACGACAAGATGGGCGTCCGCCGCACGCTCAATCACTTGACTGCCCAAGTCGAAAAGACGGTCCTCTGGTTGGGCGCCTGCTGGGTTGGCGCTCTGACCAACTACACTCTGGATTTCATTCCCATCCAGCGCCTCAACAAGCATGATCTCGACCAGCAGCCGGGAGCCCGAGCAGCGCTGGCCGTCATTGTCATTGTCATATTCTGCATTGCCGTTTCACAAGTATTCTTCTTTAGACAAGAGGGGCGTTTCATCAAGTACATCAAACTGTACGCCCTGTTCATTTTCGGCATCATCATCTCGTTGACCCTGCCGGGGCTCCAACTGCGCATCCATCATTATGTCCTGGCCCTTTTGCTGATACCAGGCACAAGCCTGCAGACGCGACCATCGCTGCTATATCAGGGTCTCTTGGTGGGCCTTTTCATCAATGGCATTGCCCGCTGGGGCTTTGATCCCGTGCTCGAGACACCTGCAGCTCTCCAGGGAGATGCGCAAAAGGGAACGCTGCTGCCAACCATTCCTCAACCAGTGATCCACATTGGCGAGAGTGCGCACAGCATGTCCAACATCACATTCACTTGGAACCAGCCTCCCGGCAATGCCTACGACGGCATCAGCATTCTAGTTAATGACGTGGAGCGTTTCCGGGGATACTTTGACGACATCATCGACCGACAAGACAGCTTTGTCTGGCACAGAAACAGCACCCTAGACCTGCCAGAATACTTTAGATTTGCATTCATGCAGGGGAGCTCGAGCGGAGATTACACCAAGGCCGGCATTTGGTCGGCGGAAGGCGAGTGGGCGCCGATGAAGGCTGGGCCGTCGAGGGTCAAGGCCAGGAGCGAGGATGACCATAGAGTAGTCCGACGATGATTCCCCATTTGTTGCCGTGTTGATATCTGCGTTTGCTGTTGGATAAATTGCGTGTCTGGTATATGAGCTAGGTATATAGAAGCAATCTCTGCATAAATAATACGCGTAGTTGTTTCTCCATCTTTTAGTCTGAACATCTGACGATGAATGGGATGGCCCTTCCCGGCCCGTCTTTGGAACCCTTTGATAGTGGGACCCTCCGGCGCCGGGACAATGCTCCATTCCGAGATGCCTCCGCGCCGTAAATGCGGATTAATGGATACTATATCATCTTTTTGACCTTTCATCACGCAACATCAACAATCATTTTCAAAATACTTGGCTCGTTATTATTATCCACAATTACACTTGGATTATTTCAATCAATAATTAGCACTCCAGTCTGGTTTCATCGCCATCTGAGACGTCACTCATGACAGCTTCATCATCATCATCATAAAAGCGGCACATCAGCAGCCAACCTCATTCACTCCATTTCTTCGTCAATAAAAACTCGCCATGCCTCCAAGAATACCCACTGAAGCAGACTTCTCCCCCCTCTCTTCCACTCTCCCCCACAAACTCCATTTCCCAAACCCGCCCGAGTCAACAACCTCCATCCTCATCCTCTTCCACGGTCTCGGCGACCACGAAGTCCCCTTTGCCACCTTCGCCCGCAACGTCTCTCTGCCAGGCGTCCTCGCCATATCCGTCCGCGGCACGTCTCCTCTCCCAGCGGCCTTTCTTCCCGACGCCGCCGCGGGCCACAACTTTCACTGGGGCGATGACCTGAGCATGGACACCAACACGGGCGACATCGACGCTGATCCAGGCTTCGACAAGGCGTCGAGGCTGGTCATGGAGAAGCTGGTCAAGGGAACGCTGATTGACAAGTGCGGATGGGAAATGAACGACATTCTCTTCTTTGGGTTCGGACAGGGCGGATCTTTGGCTCTGGGGCTGGCATCTCGGCTGCGAACTGTCGAGCGCATAATTGACATTTCAGACGGCGACGATGTCACGAAGCAGAAACTCGGAAAGACGTGTAAGGGCGTCGTTTCGATTGGCGGTCCGCTGCCATCGTCCATGGTCCCCTCGTTGAGCAGTCGTGAAAAGAGCAGTACGCCGGTGCTGGTGTGTCAGCTGGATGAAGATCAGGCGGATGCGGTCAAAAGAGAGTTTAAAGAAGTGAGGGTAGTCAACTGGAGGAGAAAAGAGGTGGCCATGCCAAGAGAAAGGGAGGAAATGTTTCCCATTATGAAGTTTCTTGCAGATCAGCTAAACAAAGGATACACATAGAAGAAGGGCCTTGACAAGATGAATCTAATCGGCATTGAATAAGATATATAAAGGGCATCTCTATTCTGCCCTCTAAATTTATATTTGTGTTGGAGATGAGAGTCTATCTCGCCATCTTGATGGCCTACTTTACTATCCCAAGATGTCCTGCTAACATAGCGCACTACATCACACGGACATACCGCAAAAGTATCGCCGCAAGAACAAAAAAGAGAGTAGCTACCAAGAATGGCAGACCCGTCCACACTCCACCAAAGTTGGCACCTCTTTTGAAACAAAGCTCCATCAACGGCCTGCCAAGAGCACCGCCCAGATTCTCCATCAGGGCAACAGAACCGAAGAGTAGACCGTAGTGCTGCCCGTCGACCAGCTCGGAAAGCAGACCACGGAGAATAAGGCCAAATGGGAACCCGAAGCACAAGAAAATGAGACCTAGAGATTTGTTTTTCGTTAGCAGATAATGCCAAGTATCGACGAAAAAAAAAAAAGAAGAAGAAGAAGAAGAAGATGGAGATTCTCATATATTTGGATGCAAAGCGGGTTTTATATACTTACCAACCAGCATCAGGCTGCTCGTCGGAGCGAGACCAACGACGAGACTGCCCACAGCCAGCAAAATGCAACTGATTCGTGCAAAAAGAAGATCCCTCTTCTTCGGCAGTATCTCCCTCTTGATCGTGAGAAAGTAGTTGGCCGCTGGGAGGAGAAGTAAGAGCAAGGCGACACTAATAGCAGCCTTGACAGTTACCAAATTTGCCGTCTGTACGCATAATGGGTTAGCCATAACTATCCCCCCAAACTGGGCGTCAGATTTAAAAAAAAAAAAGGCTGGAAGACCAACCTTTAACCAATCCCATCCAAATCGCCAATTCACAAATTGGAGGAGCATAATTTCCGCGCCCTTTCCTACCGACGTGATAAGAAGGGTCAGCAACAACAACGTGACCTGCTGATTGCCCCAGAAAACAGAGACAGTAGCCTCTCGAAATCTAGGCAAGCCCTCTGTAAACGAGCGTCGCCAACGAGTCCACCAGGGCCTGTTGTCATTCTCATCACGCTCTTCCTGGTTGGCGAGAGCAGCCTCAGCCAGATCCGGCGCCACGTCATCGAGCAACGCCTTCATATGGAGAGTCTCTGGGAGAAACAACGCAATGGCAATAGTCGGGATGTAGAGACTGATTCCGACGAAGACGGGAATCCAGATACTCGTGTGCATTAACTTTGTAGCCAAGGGGAAGATGAACAACTCGGCAGCTAGCCATGAAACACCGATGCCGAAAAAGGTTGTAGTACTTGAAAATGAAGAGCATATAATCAGCAAACAATAGAATAGATCCGCTGTGGAATCGTTTAGTTCTCTTACCGATGAGCACTAGGCGCAATATCTGACAACATCGAGAAGAGTATCGATGAGAGGACGACAGACCCGCCTCCAATAAACAGGAATAACGGCGATATCAATGCCAGTCGGTAGTGGAAAACATTGGGCCAAAGGCCTTTCAGACTCAACGTTAGATAAAACACAGAAAATCACAGCAATATTACATTGCCTTTGAAGCACGATGCACTAAGAAGGAATACTTACAAACGATGATATTGAACGCTTGCGCCAAGACCAGGCCCACGATGGACAAGAACAGCCCAAACTTTCGCCCATAATGGTCCGTCAAGAATCCATACGGAACAGCAGTCAAGATGCCCGGTAGAATAGTAAGCACGTAGCTCAATCGTGTCACCAGCATCAATTCTGCGCCGACCTCTGTATCGAGGAAGCATTCAGGGCTGCCCGGCTCATACTCTGGATGCAGGCGGTGGCAGACATTGCGCATGAGCAGGTCGAACAGCGGAATCACCTGCAAAAAGGAGCTTGACACGACCAAGAACGAGATGATGGAGATGAGGATGCAATACACCAGATGGCGACGTGGAAACGCCGTGCTGGTTTCGGAGCGTGAGGTCGTTGCGGGTACATTTTCCGGGCCTTGGTCGGGCTGGTCAGGGAGCAGGCGTGATCGCTCATCGACATCCATGGCTGCGGACCAGGTACAGTTATTGTAGATTTGCGGTTATAGAGCTGTTCTTGTAGTAGAAGGGCATTTCAGACCGATCACAACAGGGGGATGCGTCAGTAGAAGGTGGTGAGAATGGCCGTCTCTTTGATGCGTAAATAAGCTTAACATAAGCTTGTTGGAAGCGGGGGGTGGTACGATTACGACAGCTGAAGCACTTGGAAACGGGAACTTTGGTAAATCCAGGTCCAACAGCAAGGACATGCAGGCTAGGGATTTAACGCACTTCGTATCCGCCCGCCAATCAAGGGCACACAAGCTTGCGCGTGATTAAAGATTCAAAGGATTATAGGGACTTTTTGATTTATATTTGTAGTCATTTGTAGTCACTTTCACTCGCCCAAGTACCTGGCATCACCTGCCTCTGTCTCCCGCCTGCAGCATATCTGCCAAAATGTCCCATTTCGCAGACTGGGTATCGCTCGAGGCTCTCGCAGCGCCTTTCAGCTCTGAGCAAATAAAGCTCAAATGTTTGTTGTAGTCGGCGATAATCTCTTCCAGCACGTCTATATACTCCTCGCTGGTTAGCCCATCTTCTCTTGTAGTTCCCTCGGAGCTTTCATGTTCCCGTCTAAACAGGTGAGACGGCTCAGATCCGTCCATCGCAGCCTTTCCCTCTCTTGCTAATTCCAACTTGATAGTCAGATCTAAAATGTCCAGAATCCGCTCCCGTATGGGTGCCAGCTTGCTCCCCATGCAGGCTTGCTCAATCATTTGCTCCAAACATGCTGAGTGCACCGAAATCATCGAATCGACATCTTCAGCCACTAAAAGATCACGCCGCATTCCCCTCTCATTGGGTTCTAGGACGAGTGTCACCAAATATGACTGAAGAGTTGTGCAGAACCACAGTAGATTGCTCCGAGCAGTGTAGAACAAAGCACGTTCATCCCAATAAGGGTTATCGGTCTGGAAATTGTCAAGGATCCGAGGTTTGTGCAGGACATGGATCGCCCGTCGAAGCTGTAGTAGGAAAATGAAAATGGATCGATAGTCTTCAAGACTCTCTTCAGAAACAACAATCCGGATTGGCCATGCAAGTCGATAATCCACCATAACATATGGCAAGGCCGCCCTAATCGAACCTCGGGCGTCTGATACAGTCATGCGTGTGCCCTGAACACTAACACCTACAGATAAGCGGCTCGTGTCAAGTAGCAGCGCAAAGGCATCTTGTGCAGTTCCTGCAAGAGCAAACCGATCATACCAAACCGGATTCAAGTTCTCCAGCTTATCGAACAAGTGATCTGCAAACGATGCCGTGGCAAATCCATCTGACATGAGATACAGCGCCTGTAATGCATCCAAGGATGATGAGAGCTCACACATGTCAAAAAGAGCATCTTTCAAAGTGGTAGAAGTCTTGCGGTATTTGCTCTGGATCCATCGGTTAAAGGCGGCACCAAAAAGATCAGGGAATGTAGCCAGACCAAGCCCTTCTGGGCAGACATGCTCGAAATCCAGAGATGGTTCTTCAGCGGCAGATGAGCTGCCTAGCTCGTATTTGCCTAGGAGCCGCAGCACAACAATGTTCTTTCCGGCGTTGTATATCCGGTGCGCTGAAGGTTTGAGGAACTTTGGGGCATGTAATGTCCCCTCTGCGGTCTGGCGGAGATTGAAGCGGTCTTGCCATATATGGCTCATGGGCACTTTTATCGGTCTTTCGACAATAAAGAAGATTTCGTTTTCAGATGAAATACGCCCTTCATCCATCCAGTGGCGAATCGGGCGGATATATACCTGAAAGCACTCGAGGAATATTCGCGCAAGGAATTCATAGGTAGCCAAGTCATCTCTCAGCTGAGCCAGTGTGGTTTCGTCGTAAAGGAGCTCCAGATACCGGAACGTATCCGATCTGGAAGTCTCCTGGATTTGTGCGATGATGTCGGATAGGATAAGGAGCGGTTGCAGCCATGGTGTGATTTCTCCAATGACAGACAGCAGGGTAAACATTACCTCACCCGTGGGGGCGGCAAAGCGAGCCTCTATTTGCGAGAGCTTCGTGTCAAAATCTCGAAGCCGTTTTGTGATGCAGTCCTGAAACGCCTGAAGATGCGGAATGACTTGTGGATGGCTGACAAACCTCCAAAGCAGCAGAATGCGCCGGCCAGAATCTGCAATGTTGCGTATAACGGCCTTGTACGTCTCCCAGGCGATGTTTTGCATGTGGAAGTTCGGCTCAGGTAAGCCGGTGGTGTCGTTGAAAAGGGTCGTTTTCAGGCCCTGCAGCATAGAGAGAACTTCTCGGACGATTTGCGTCTCTGGGATGACAATTTTCTGGATGAGCCCTATATCATCTTTCTGGGGTACCTCGATCCGCCACTGTTGCGTCGACTGCACAGCTCTCAGCAACTCTGTGTCCTCGGGTTGGATGATGTAGTCGGCGGCAGTCCTCCCCTTCTGATGCAGATTACGATCGACATCGTTGGTATAAACCGGCGTCGCTTCCATGGGCGTTTCGTCCGGCTCGTCTTCGATTGATTCGTCTCCAGATTCTTGCGCGTAATCAATCGACTGCCATAACAGCTCGTCCTCATCCCAGCCATCTTCTCGAGCGACCGCTTCCCAGCTAAACGTTTCCTTCTGCTGCTCCTCGCGCGATCGTACAGCGTCAAGGTCGCTGAGCTTTGTCTTGAAAGTCGGTTGATCAGATAGCCCGAGGAGCAGAGCGAATATTTCTGGGTGCCACTTGGTGGCATGCTCCTCCAGGCGATCCAAACTACTGCGGAATTCATCGGCAAGGTCATCTCGATTGTTTACTCGGAAGCGTTCTTCCAGTCCATCGAGAGCGTGTTGTACCTCGAACTGGTTCGTGCGGAGGTATGCCTGGGATTTGATTGTCGCCAAGGTGGCATCGTATAGCTCTTTGTATCGCCTGGATCTTGTCTGATGGCACACGATTCAAACGGTCAGCTCCTCCAGTCCATGAAGCTCAAAAGCTACCGCGGGATAGCTACGGGTTCCCCTCCTCCCCACCTTACTAGGAAGCCCTGTGACAGCTTCGATGAGCTCTCCAGTGAGAGCCCCAAGAGTTGCGGCGTGGGCCATTGCCAGCGGTTGGCATTTTCAGCAGCAATGGCGGCCGACCGAAGCTGGTGATGATGTGAAGTTGCGTATTCAAAGTGCTAAAAGACACTGGTTCCGCTACAGGTGATTAAGTCAACAGCTCAATGACACTTAACGGGCCAGTTCTAGCGCGTCTCTAGCGCGTATGTGGGGGAGAGACCTTCTGAACCTCTCATCGGCAGGCGATTTTATTAGTGTCCCTCGATAGCATAAAGCAACCACGCCCCTTTCAACTTGAATCTACTAGTTTAGAGAGACCACAATAGCGACATCCACTCGAAAGGGCCACACGATACGGACGGTTGGATGCGCGGCCTCATAGTCTAGGTGTGTTGCTACCAAAGCCTGCTGAGTAGCCAATTCGTCGACCAATCCCTGTCTCTTTTCGCCCTGGCCGCATAAACGAGCCCTCCCATGGAGAATTAAACCCACAGCCTTACCGTCGGGCTTTTCGCAATCATCACATCTTCTACATCATGGCCATAGCCCGGCCAGTCCGGACACTGGGAGGCCTGGCCATTGTGCTGTGGTGCTTCTTCTTATACCAGGTCCTCAAACCTTCATCCGGATACAACAGCCCGGGCGATCGGTACATTAACTTTGAGCGCGACCCCAACTTGGATCGTAAGTCTATAGCGCATCCAAACACCAGATTGATGCAAGGCAAGATGAGCTGACGGCTATTCCAACTCTGCAGCTACCGGCGAACCCGAAGGAACCCTCGTACGAACGTCGGACAAGTATGCGCCAGACGCCGAGGACACCGATCGAGTCAGCGCCACATTGTTGGCCCTTGTCCGCAATGAAGAGGTGGACGACATGGTAGCGTCCATGGTAGACCTTGAGCGGACATGGAACAACAAATTCAACTATCCGTGGACTTTCTTCAACGACAAGCCCTTTTCTGAAGAGTTTAAGAAGAAGACAAGCGCCGCAACCAATGCCAAGTGCAACTACGGTACGTTGCCTGCTTCGAGACACCACGAGACCATATCCACGGCTAACTAGCAGCAATCGCAGAACTCATCCCCAAGGAGCACTGGGACGCGCCCTCATGGATCGATCCCGCAATCTTCAAAGAATCCGCTGCGGTGCTGAAGAAGAATGGAGTCCAATACGCCGATATGATGTCATACCATCAGATGTGTCGCTGGAACAGTGGCATGTTCTACAAGCATCCCGCCCTTCAGGATGTCCGCTGGTACTGGCGCGTCGAGCCCAAGGTTCACTTCTTCTGCGACGTCGACTACGACGTCTTCCGCTATATGCAGGATAACAACAAGACGTACGGCTTCACCATCACCTTGTACGACGACCCTCATACCCTGCCTACTTTGTGGCCCCAGACAGCCAAGTTCCTGGCCGATCACCCCAACTACCTACATGAAAACAACGCCATCAAATGGGTTGTTGACGATATTCGACGACCCCAACACAATGAAAAGGCGCAGGGCTTCTCTACATGCCACTTTTGGAGTAACTTTGAAGTTGCCGATATGGAATTCTGGAGGAGCAAGCCATACGAGGACTATTTCGAGCACCTCGATCGCGCTGGAGGCTTTTTCTATGAACGATGGGGTGATGCGCCCGTCCACAGCATTGCCTTGGGTCTATTCGAGGATTCAAGCAAAATCCACTGGTTAGTTGTTTTGTTACTCTTCTCTCAATCAAGTTCGTCTATACTAAACTGCTCTTCAGGTTCCGAGATATTGGTTATCAGCACATTCCTTTCTTCAACTGCCCCAATTCTCCCAAGTGCAAGGGCTGTGTCACCGGCCGACTGACAGATGGTGAACCATTCCTCCATCGAGAAGACTGCAGGCCGAACTGGTTCAAATATGCCGGTATGGGCTGAGGGAAGAAACACTGTGAAGCCACCACGTCCATCCCTTTCCATTACACCACATCCGAGGACCGCGCCCCGAAGCACGTATCGTTATATCATATTAATTTTGGGCAATTACTACCACAAGACATGAAACATCCTCTTGGTATCGTCATTGCCATGTTATGAGAAACTCCTCGTCCAAGCATTCGCCATATATGCTGCCATGGCTATCTTATATACATATACCTATTCTTCAAAGAGATCAAGTCTCCAATAACACGCAGTATAGCTCCTCAACACGAGGACAAAATAAAAGAACAAAATTTCCATAAAAGCAAACTGCCATTGAACCAAAAAAAAATTCTACTCCATGTGCCACGTCCTCTGTATCAATGCTACAACGTCCCAAACACAGTCACCACTCCAGACGTCCCGCCCACGCAAAACTGATCCCCCCAGCCTCCGTCCCGCCACGCCATACAGCTAATGACATTGTTCCGTACCTTTGGCTTGCCATCCTTCCCAATCACCTTCTTCACCTCGTGGCCTGCCGGCCCCCAAGGCACCGTCACCTTGGCCACCACTTTGCCCGACAACACATCCCACGCCCAAATCCTCCCCGTGCCACCACCGCCTCCAGCAGCAGCATCCGTCTCTCCAGCCATCTCGTCTCCAGCCACCACGTACTTTTCCTTGCCGCCCAGCATCGACTGCAGCCGCAGCTCCTCATTCTTCCACAACGGATCCGAGTACGCCCTGAGACACGTCCCGTGCTCCCTATCAATGAGCCGCAACTTGCTGTCCAGCGAGCCCACCAGCATAGCCTTGCCGTCTCTCGTAACGTCCAGGCTCACCACGCTCGCGCCCACAACATCAGTAGTGCACCTCCCCATCCGCACATCATAGCTCCTCACCCGCCCATCCACGCTCCCCGCAACCACCTCCGGCCCCATCACCGCCAGGCTCGTCACCGCGTCTTTCGCCTCGCTCAGCACCTGAATCGGCTTGAAGCTCGTGCTGCGCACATCCCACACCCGCACCGTCGTGTCGAAGCCGCCACTCACCACCAGCGAGTCCCCCGCGCCCGCAAAGCTCACGCAGTTGATCCGCGCCGAATGCCCCTGCGCGTTGCCGCCGAACCGCCTCGTCGTCACCGCCTTGCTCACGTCCCACAGAAAGACGGCGCGGTCGCCGCCCCCGGACACGAAGCTCTCGTTGTCGGCCGCGACGGCGAGGCTGGTGACTTCGTAGCCGTGCGCGGCGTATGTCTGGATGAGGCGCCCCTGTGGCACGGCTGGCTTTGCGCTGGGCCGGACCTCGGGGATGGACGAGCTGGGGAAGGGATTGTACAGCCGGATGGAGCGATCTGCCGACCCGGTGAGGATGTAGTTGCCGGGAGAAGAAGAATAAGTTACGGCGTGAACGGGACCTAGAGAAGCGTAAGAAGGAATCCAATACAAGACTTGTGTGGGTTATAAAGGAGATGAAACAAACCATTAGAGCCGAGAAGATGTGCCGTGGGCCTATCTGGGAAAGCCATCGTGTAAAGCGCCAAGGCTCATCGCTATCATAGTGTTATCCAATATTCGCAATGGCATATGCCAAGATGTTTCAGGGCCGCGACATGAAAGGATGTTGAGTGAGAAGCAGGAAAAATTACAAGACGCTGAGACGGATTAGCTCTCTTAGAGCAGCATAGTGACGCCTCTGATTTTTTTTCTCTGCTTTTCTACTCTCTCCCTTTTGGAGTCATCGAAAACACAAATATCAGGCACTAGTCCAAGGATATTAAATGAGCAGAATGATAGATATTTATCACAGTCGCTGTTGACGTTGTTTCATTCTTCAACTGGCTAATGATGTACAGTGCTACTACTGTATGGGCCCTCAACCTAACACAGCACGTGACAGATCCAAACAACTCCAATGTTAACCACTTATACTTGAAATGTAGTTTATATATAAATACAGACATCAAACGTGACACGTCATATAGATTTTGTAGCCTCCCAGTCAATACGAAGATTCTTCATCAAGACCTCCTTGATAGATCGAATGCCCCAAACTCCCCATCCTGCGTCATCCGATTCAAGTTGCCCTGATCTTGATGCCTCCTAATCTGCCCAAATGGGCAGCTGTCTAAAACGCTAAATTATGCCATAACACGTTACATAATTCCAATGCCAATGCAGGGCCAAAGCCAAAGCCAAAATAAAATGGGGGGGAAAGGAAATTAAGGAAAAGAAAAGAAAACTAACAGAACAAGGCTGCAAAGGAAAAGGGGGAGATCAAATATATACGTAGAAAAGAAACAAGCAAAAGTAACTCGCTTCTGCACCTTAATGGAAGAAGTGTAAAAGAAATCTTTACGGCCAGGCTTGGTCTAATCAAGTGCAATGTAAACCATATCCATATCCTTGGGGAATGTGTCCTCAATGGGATCGAAAATTTGCCAGTGGCTATTCTCTTTGTCTCTGATTTCTTCTGAGAGAGGAAGCAGGCGATAGCCTTGGATAGGGCTGGGTGATCGTGACCCTTGCTCGCGGATTCGATTCAATTTTTGGAGGCGCCGGTCAATCGCTAGTCGGTCTTTTGAAGATGATCCCCAGACGCCAGTCATCTTATCGACAGCGGACTTTGCAATTCGAACTCGGTCAATCAGTTCTCCTAGAACTGTCATAGGCCCACCTGCAGTCAAGACGTCGACAGCTTCTGTGACAACAATGGCCATGGCAGGAGGGGGAATGCTTAGCAAGGTAGGTCGAACCCTCAAAATACGCTCAAGGCAGTTCAACATGTCAATGACGCTGCTTGCATGGTCCCGACACTTGGCTGAGTGTTCCATCTGCACATCTTTGGGTAGCTGGTTGGCCCCATGGCGATGTCGGTTCAACTCAATCATAGTATGATGATAAAGAAGGTGCATGCTAAGGAAAGTACCGATGCTTCTGGTATAGGCAGCAGCTTCGAGGTTTGTCCCGCCGAATGTCATACGAGAGGGCAAAGAGGAGTTCCATTTCTCGGCTTTCTCGACAAGAGCTTGTAGCCTCATAGTTTCCGCTTCAAGAGGAGTTCTCCTCAGAGCCATTCTATAAATGGTAGCTTGGCAATCGGACCAGATATGCACCATCTCGATGTGGTAGCCACCGACAGCAGTGTCGGAATGTTGCTCCGCAATCCTGATAAGCTCGTATGGATCAAAGCTTCGTGATTGCGCCTCGATTCCCTTCTCAAAACTGTGGATATCGGCAGGAAGCTGCACATAGATATCTTCTGCATTGAGCATTACCGGCCTCTCTGGGAAAAGCCCGCTAAGCCTTTCCAGCATGAACAGAGACCAGAACGTCCTCTTGCGTGATTCAGCATAGGTTATCCTAGTAAGTCCCAGAGGGAAAGCAGTCATAGACGACTCCCTAGAGTGATCGAGCTCCAGACTTAGTTGTAGACAAGCTGCGCTGGCAGCCGCAGAAGCAACTAGCTCATCGGCCTCCCTAGTACGGCATGTTGATATATAGTACACGGCAAGGAGAATCCTGCTCTGTACTAGCTGCAAGCACTGCAATTCTGTCATCTTTTGCGCATAATGTGCTACTTGAGCATACTCATAAGCAATATGCTTGGGATCTCCGCAGAGCGCAGAACCAACAGCGAGCATGCTGTATAGTAGCATCAGATCTTCAGGGCTTTTGCGGTCAACAGAGGTAATGACCCAGTACTTGAAGATTTCTTCGGGAAGAAATTGCAGAATCATGGTGCTGTCGACATTGGCGAAGAATCTAGTCAAAGCGCTGGTGATCAAGTGAGGGTTCGATGCAAAGGGATCTGTCCGCCAAGCTCGGCCAAGAACGTCATCCGAGATTCTAGTTGGCTCAGGGAAAGGCTGTTGTTCAGTAATTCGCGGGTTCGAATAATCCGTCACAGCATTGAATGAAGCAGGAGATTCGCCATTGGCGATGTACGCCTCAGAGCTAATCTTGAGCCTTTTGCCGTAACCCCTATCTGGGGAATCTGCATGCATTCCGGCTCGGGGCGATCTGGGAGAGCTGGCGTCGCTGACTGAGCGTCGAAGGTCGCCGGCGTCAAGTGAGCCGTTGTGCTGCCGGCCATCATCAAGCTCTATGGGAGAAGTCGATGGTGAAGTGTTATGGCCCCCTCTTGGTCTAGGGATAATGTCAACATGGTCCCTGGCAACACATATACATATGGATACTCACGCATTCTTGAACTTGCAGATGCGACCAAACTTTTCGCACTGGACACATCGAGGATAATCCGGATCGCATTTGATCTTCTTCTCTCTGCACGTTACGCATGCAATAGCCAGTCGCTTTCGAGGCTTCCCCGCCTTGGTCACGCCCCAGTGGGCATTCACCGCCTCGCCATCAATCACAGTTTTACAATGGCTCCCATCGTCGTAGAAATAGCACATCCCTTCGCCTGGAACTTCGGCTGCTCGCACAAATCTCGGGAGGAAATGCGTGCCTGTCCAAATTTTCGGTCCCAGGCCATCTTTGGAAACAGCAAGTTCGGCAGTAACGGCAGCAGCTGAAACGGAGGGCGCGTTGGTATCCGAGCTGTGTACTGCTTGACTGAGTCGACGTTCGGAATAGTCATTAACCGGATCCTTGGGCGTAGATAGCTGGGGCCGGAATTTGTCCTGGGGTGGCAAATACGACAGAGAATCGCGGGGTCCTACGGGATATTCTTGCCTCCCATCTTCACGATAGACTGACCACTTCCTGACCAACTCTGGTTCGTAGCGTGCGTCCGAGGCCCTGTGGCCGTGGTCTGGGTACTCAGATGAATGCGGTCCAGCAAAGGGGGGCGCTAGAGGGTGAGCGGCTTGTCTGTCGTGGTGGTCATATTTAACATCGTAAGAGTTTCGCTGTTGTGGTAGAGAAGAGGGAATGGTTTGCGGGAAATAGGAACTGGAGAGATTTCCACTCGACGAGAGCCGCGGTCTGTCCAAGGGGGAGGGTGAAGGATAAAGGCCAGGGCGCTCCGTCTGTGGTGAGTTGAGGGACCGC